TGTTAAGAGAGGATGTTGGTTGATGAAATCTTCTTTGAGGCGGGCTGTGGTAGCAAAACGTTTGAGGCCTTTTAAGGCATCTGTAGCTACGACATAAAAAGGAGGGTGGGGGACAAACTTTTGGCTTGTTCCTGTCACTATTCGGTGTACCTCATCCGTAAGGGAGGGATTTGTAGGTTCTGGGTGTATTGGAGTAGTGACAATGTCGGTTGTGCCCATCGCATAATCTGTGTTTGGTGGTGTGGTGTGTGTGAAGCCAGGGTTGTTGTGTTCTTCGAAACTAAAACGTCGGAGATTGTGGAAATGCTGAAGGTGTCTTGCAAAGAATGGTCGTCAGTCATCATTGTAGTGGAAACCAATGTGTCTAGGCTGCTCATGGAGATGTCATCCAAAGGGTACGATATCTGTTGGAGTAGGCACATAGATGGTTTGGCACGGAACTTCCCAATGATAGTTGGTTCGAGTTAGGGGATGCTCGAGTTGTCCTGCTACCAAATGGTAGTTGGTAGCTCGAAGAATTTTTTCGGTGACAGCAGGGTTCTGGTTGTGGCGAGCTCTGTTGGATCGTTGATTTATGATTGTGTTGAGTCTCTGCCAGTCGGTGTTGTTGTTGTGTTCTGGTTGTAAGAGAGTCTGTGTGAAAGGTGGCCAGGGGAAAGGTATCAATACTAGAAGTATCCTCGAAGTTGAGTGGCGTCATGGTTTGGGTCGAGTTCTCATCCCAATTGTGGGGACTCCACGGTATCTCTGAAGATGGGTTTCTGTACCAATGGTGTTGGGTATTTGTTGGTGATGTTTGGACACCTATTGTATTTCCTGTGTGTGGGTGGAATGGCTTCATGGTCGTCGTTGGAGTGTTATTAATGTAATCGATTTTGGTGCGAAGGCTTGAATTCATCAATTGCAGCAAAAAGTGAGTATTCTAAATATAATTTACTGGGATTGACAGAGACAAGCCTTCAGGCTGGAGTTCTGGTGCCGAGTGGCAAAACAGCGAAAACAAGCGAACCCGCCCGTCGAGGTACGACCGCACACCTAGCTTAAAATCTCGTCAATAAGGGAAATTTTCACTGATGTTGAGATCTTCACTTTGAAAGTGCCCACCTCGCCAGCGTTGTAGGCCGAGACAACGAGAGCATAAGGCCCAGCTCCTGCTCGTTGTCGTTTCGTCACAACAAAGCCATGGCGATAGTTGCCTGAGTCAACGGGAGGATCAGATGTGACGCGCGTTGCCCTCTGACCGTATGATTGGACAGGCACGAGCATCACGTTCACTGCAAGAGTTTTTGGCGCCAAACATTGAATTTGAAAGGTGGCCCCTCCGTCCGGCACTTCAATTGCAAACATTGGATTGCTATAAAATCCCTTCTTGCCAATGGGACCACCAGCTGAGGAGGGCGTCCAGCTGGATGTCAGAGACCGTGAAAAAGGTAGCTCCTTTGCTGGCTGGCCTAAGGTGAATGGTTCCGTGCAGAAGCAAGACAATGTGTAGGAAAGATCGTGTGACTTCTCATACTGGGACAGTACAATGGACAGATACTCATCTGCGGGATCAGTCACATCGTATCTAACCAAGCAATGTGGATTGTTGGTGTATGCCCCAGTGAGCACGTTGCGCTTGGTGCGAGGATAGAAGATTCTCTCCTTTGCTTTGTCGTTTCTATGCAAGTGAACTGTCAAATAGTCCTTGACCTTGTGTAGGAGAAAGTTTCAGGAGCCAGAAGACAGCAAGCTCAGGTGCGAGGACAAAACATTGCACTCAGCAAAAAGCGATGCACTCACCTCTGCCCCCTCTTGCTCGGATTTTGTGACATGTCTACTTATGAGAATCCAGATGCTGGCGCCTTTCTTGATTGCCTTTTGAGACAGAGTCATCGCATACTGTGGATTTTCACCGCAGTTGAACGTGTCATCACGGGGTCCCAGAGCCTTGGGCCAGAAGCCATGCGTAGAAGTTCTGTAGGCGAACAAATCCGGGTTCCAGCTAAGGTGGACATTCTGCAGTGTTTCCGGTTTCAAAGCTGCGCAGTGAGTTGTTTGCCAGTATCCATTTCCATGATCACAAAACACCAGCTTCCTCAGTCCTTACCTGGAAGTAGACGAGCACATCATCCTGATTTCAATTCGAAGAGCGCACTGATGAGCGACCTGACCTCACAAGTGCACGAACACTTCTGAGCCCATCCAGTTCAAGCCAACTTACCCAACAGATCCAAAAGACGCCGTCGTCCGACTTCTTGGCCAACTCTGGGTTGTATCCCACTTCTGCACATATCTTTGGATTCCAGTTGATAGTATCATAGCAAGAGTACCTTCCCTTCCACCCCTTGTGTGCCCACGGGTTCTTCAGTTGAAGCAATCTAATCCCATTTTGGGTTTGCATCACGCTGAGGCACGCGTAGGCGTGGCCTGTCACCAATCCAATCTGATTTGCCTGCTCCTCGGATATGGAAGCTTCACTCGACATGGTTATCAGGCAATCGCCAAAACTGTGCGCTGACATTAGCCTCTCCCATGCCCTTTCTCTTGACGTTTCATGATCTCGCACTTTGTTTGGATCCTTTGGGAACAGGATCCGTTCTGGAATCCAACCTGTCAGTGCGTAGAGATCAACTCCACTGTTGGAGCCTGGGAAGTTATAGCCATTGTCAAAGCCACCCGCCATCTTCAAGAATGCCTTTTCAATGATGGGGACATAGATCTCAAGCTGACCAGGAGGACTCTGGCTATTTGCACACAGCAAGTTGCCGTTTTTGTCTATCGGTAGTCGATCGTCGACCACGACCTGTCTGGCAACTCCATTCAACCAGAGTTTCACCATATATTTGCCATTAGGATTGTAAACCATCTTTCCATCGGGTGTTTGTGGGTACACAATGGGAGAGATGAGGCTCTTTTGGAACCTTCTCTCATAGGCAGCACAGATACAAAGGCTGGCAATGAAGGAGCAATCCGTGACTCCATATTGCTTGATTTTGTAGGGCGAGACTGTCCCAAGGACCATCACTGGACTCATGGTCTTTCCTGATCCATGTCCTCTCAAGTGCTGTCTTAGTTGCAATATCTCTGATGGTCTGGCCCACTTGTAGAATGTTTTCTTTTGTTTGTCGGCTAGAGGCAAGTCTCCCTTATCTCTAAAGAGGTTCATCGGTGATTTGAGCTCTGCATTCAAGGCTTGAGCGTCGTCATCTGACCACGGCAAGAATAGTCCACTCGATATGAGACTTGATCTGGTCAAAACTGAAACCTCCTCTGGCGTCAGAGAAGATTTGGAGCGCTGCTGTTGTTGCTGCCTTTGTCTCTGCTCCATATGAACTTTTGTGGGTTGTCGTGGTTTTGGATTCTTCAATTGCTCCACACGGTCTGATTATCACGTGTTGAAGTGACGATGAGATGTGATAGATCCATGAATGAGGTCATGCTGGTCAGCAAGCAATACCAGCCAACATGCCGGCCAAACTTACCCAATGTCTGCTCAAGACGACGCCTCAGGACGACGGCCACATTTTCTCCACATCCACTGGTCTTGCCATTCTTATCCTCGGCAGCTTTCATTGCTTTCAGGTACAACTCGGCAGCGTCCATGTAGGTGGCGATTGCCGCATTCTTTTCACCCCTTTCGTCGGCGTCCATAGCAGTTGCTAATTTGGCATTGGCCTGACTTGTAGTTTGGTTGACAAGGGCAGACAAGCTGAACCGAGGCGACTGAGGTTTGACTGGCGAAAAAGAAGGTGGTGGCAACGGAACTACGCTGGAGTCCTCATTGAAAAATCCGTGCTTGGCAATTGGAGACCTTGGATCGGTAGTAATGCTTCGTCGGGTGTCCGAACAGGGTGATTCTTTGCTGCTTCCTGCCAGTGAATTGCCAGTCCTAAGGCAATTCTGTGCAATTTTTTCATAGTGCTTTGCCTTTTCCTCTAAAAGGTCTCGCTTTTGCTGCTGTTCAGATGTGGCTGGGAGTCTCTGAATGTACTGTCGCATCAAGTAGATTGCCTCATAGTACTACAATCGACCAAGAAACAAAATAAACACGAAACAATGACAGTCAGAGTTGTGTTTGACTCTCTCACAAAAAAAAGTGATTGATAGAAACAAAAAGTACGCCTTTCAGCTGGATCACCAAAGAGTCCTTCCTCAGCTACAACACAAGGAACAAACAAATCAACATCCAATCTTTCCACTCTTGCTGTAGACACGAAAAGAGACACACCTTGGTAGCTGCCTCGATCTTGGTGTCATCGTTGTCTTCCAATTTGGTCGCCGTTGCGAGGATGCGAAATACATCGTCCAGGAGGTCGCCCATGGCAAATTCGGCTATTGCTTCAGCGAGGATTGTCTGTTGCCTTTGTCTTTTCACTTGGGTTGGCAAAATGAGGGTGAAAACTCTTCGCTCTGTTTTGATGGAGCTGCTTTGTTGATCGTTGATCGGATGAGCAGAGGATCAATGCACAGGTCCCCAGTTTGTCCCCCCCTGCTAGCTAGATCTGAACACCGAGAACCCCAACGAATTTCAACTTCTATCTTGGGCCCCCGAGAGTTGGCACTGGCCCCCTTTTTTCATTAATTCTTGAAACTTGGTTTGAATCCCGCACGAATGGAGAACGGAACGATTTCATGTCACGGTCCAAAGCTCGTCGTTCCTCGAATGATTCGATGATTCGATTCGATTCAATCCGTGCTCACAAAGTTTGGAGGGATCTATACATGTAGTTTAGCTTAGATATCAAGACTCTACTCTCCATGGCTGGTCATACCATGGAACCACAAAGGCGTATCAAGGCGCGGATCTCATGAGCGTTCATACGACACGAAAGTCGAGCAGGTCAGAGTCCACCGTCGGTGGTTCCTCTTCCATATCTTGAGATTCACACCGAATCTTCAAGAACCCATGCGCCTCTCCTCTTGAATGCATGTTGCCTTCCAATACAGTCTCGTGGAAGGAAGCTCCAGCGGACACCACGGCGCCAATAAAAAGGAATCCAATGAATAGCATCTCCAGACAGAAGATGGTTACCACCATGTGGGTTGGAATGAATTGAAAGATGTCTTGAACGCCAATTGTGACGAACCAAAGTCCCTGGGCCACCATCAGAAGCTAGGCACCCAGATGAGCGATAACACTGTCTCGATGCTTCACCGAGTAGGCAAAGCAGATTGCATCAGCAAGGTGAAGATAGGACAACATCATGTGAAACTTGACAGCATAAGCGAGCGCCGGATCAGGTACTATCTGGCCATGCTCGTACATAGAGAGAGACATCAAGAGCATTCCAATTGCCATGGAGACTCGAGACGAGTCAAGAGGGAGCTTTCCTTTGCACTCTAACAGACAGACTTGCCCCACCAGATGAAACGTGATGTACATTGTTTGATGCGACAGATTTGAAAATATGCCTAAGGAGGACAGGACCAAACACCGTGAGCTGTGATTGATGGGTCGAGATTGACACTCCTTACGCGGTCGAGGAAACCAACAACTCACCATCCCCCAAAATGCCTCCGCCAACTTCATAAATTATCCCCAGGAACGTTACAACGCAGAGAGCTAGACCATATCGGTAGAGCACTCGAGGATCTCTCTCTGGAACATGGACTTCGCAGTATGTTTTTCCGTTTGGAAGCCAGAGTGAACGTTGCAGCGCCAAAAGCAGCGCCCCCATTCCAAAGAGAATCAATAAGGTACCAGCGATAACATGTCCGTGCCAGCTCATGGTTTGCTTGTATTTCTTGTTGCTCTTTTCTAAGCTTGCTTTTATTGAATCTGTGTTCGTTTTTTGGTTTTCCAGTTATTGTTTTTGTGGGGAGAATGATCCTCGACTGACAACGATTGATTTGACAAGGCATGTACTTGTATTGCTCCATCACCGGCCATGGTTGCTCTTTCTTCTCCCCCGCAGATAGCCTAATATTGCCGAGATAGACCCTTTCCATGACTACTAGAGTAGTGCTCAAGTGAGGGCTTGTATTGAATGGTACCAGTATTTGAGCTATGTAGAAAAGCTCGCTTGTTTGTAGGATAGCCAGCTTGTCGAGCTAGCTACAGTGTAGCCACCGGTCGCAATGTCTACCAAACCTTGGCATGTGCATCGTACATTTCGTTTGGCAAGGTAAAGCCGTCGCGCTGGACACGAATTATTTCAAGGGCCATTCACCCGGAGGTGCTGGACACGAATTTCGCATGGATCAATAAGTCAGCGGGAGCTGCGATACCTCGGCAGAAAGACAGACAGAAGAAGGAGGATTATGTTCGGATTGCACCCATCTTTCAAGCTAGAGCCCTGGCGACAACACCCGACTACGTCGTGTGTTGCCGCCCGGTATCATTCATTCCCTCATTGCAACCTTCTTTTTCTTAAGCTAGCCCTGGCGACAACACCCGACTACGTCGTGTGTTGCCGCCCGCTACTCTATAATTTACCAGCTGCCATTCCCTTATTGTAACTCTAACCTTTACAACTCCTGCTGGCTTATTGTGCTGTTGTGCTGATTGCACTAACCTTAAATATTAATGATTTATTCCTACCCCTAACTTGTATTGAACCATCAATGTTCAGTTTTGTTGGCTTATGACTATCTCTATCCTTATACTTTGGCTTCACCGGAATAGGAAATAGGAAATAGCATTAAAGGGGTTGAGAACTCAGGCAGTTAACCTGCCGAGGTAATCACTCTTTGAAATAACCTAGTCTACCCTACTGTTTTAAAAGAAAGCTTCAATTTGCGAGTTAGAGCTCGACCTCGACCTCGACCTCGAGCTCTTCCTTGGTGATTAACTTAAGAATTACAAAGTCCCAGGAGGGATTAGTCTAAGTTCTAGATTTGAAAACGGTCTGTGATGGCCTCTTGCTGGGGCCATCCTGTAACCGTTTGGTCGAGCTCTTCCTTGAACTGATCAAACCCACGTTTACAACACCGCATGGATGATATCAAACGACTTTTTGATCATGACGACAAACACCTTTGCGTCACGCAACGAGCACCTCGAGTCCATCGAGAAGGGCATTCGGGAAGGTCTCGTCGCCATGGACAAGCCAAGTGCTGTCGTGAGTGTCCCTCGTCGTGTAGTGTGTCAGGCTCCCGTGAAAAATAATGTTGCTTGGTGGAGTTTACGAGCGATTCGATCCGCTGCTCGTTCCGTCTCAAGAAACAAGACGAATGGCAGACTTGCGCTCCTATCTAATAGCTATCTATATGGTTAGCTGGCAGTGGGAGAAAGAAACCAATCTACGTCGTAGAAGATAGCGTGCTGAGGGGGAAGAACACAGGCGACATCACTTGCTCTGTATTCGAAATTGTCACCACCAGGCTCAGCGCTTCTTATTCTGCTTCTTCTTCTTGCTGGACGAAACACTTCCCAAGAAACCCTTGGGGCGCCCGTGATTCATTCTTTGCAACCCAGACAGGACTCGTTGGAATGCACCGGAATTGTCAGTGGTAGCGTCTTCCCGCTTTTCCTTCACTTTCTTTGTCTACGGTGGGCGAAATGGAATGGAACGTAACGGTTTTCGATGAGCCAAAGTGGATGCACTACACATCACTTCAAGCACTGAAGAAGCGCAGCAAAGACTTACACGTCCTCGATCGAGAGTCGCATCCCAACGATCCAGATACGTTTTGCGCTTTTTAGCATTCTTGTTTCTTTCCATGCTGTCGACGATGTTCGAGCGAGCCTTCGACACGTCGGAATCATTCGAATCCGTTGATGGCTTCGTTGCATCATTGCTGTCGTCCCACTTGCCAACAGTCCGGTTCCCCAATAACTCGTAGTCGTTTCCTGATTTGGTCCTTCCTAGCGTATTGGGGATCCATCGCCTCTTTGCTGGACGTCCCGTCATTACAGAAAGTTTCTCGCGACCCTTGCCGCGATCCAACACAATGACAGCATTCCTGGAATTTGGACTCTTCTTGTTCTTGGGTGTATCATGTGGCGCCTTTGCCTTGGATACAGATGACGTCTGGTTGGCTTCAGAGTGTTTACTTTCCTCGGACACCTTCACGGCATCCAAGCCTTCTAACTTCCTGTCCTTAGGACGATCCAATTCAGCTGCAGCACTTGAGCCTTTTCGTGCCGTGTTAGACTTTTGTGGTTTATCATTGACCTGCTCAGCCTTCCTATTGTCTGAAGCCGAAGGCTGATTGTCAGTCTTCTTTGCGTTGTCGTCCTCGCCTGAGCTAGAATCATCGCTGGAATCATCCGAAGAGCTGTCACTTGACGAGGATTCTGACGACTCTTGGGAGGCTGTGCTGCCGGATGAAGACTTTTTCGACGAACCAGGCCGCTTGGGTGGCTTATTAGATTCGTCTGCTGAAGTATTCTTGGAAGCTGCGGTTTTCGGTGCTTTGCTTGGACCCGACGATTGGGCGGGTGATGCGCGTACGTCCTTTTGAAGATTATCGTTTTTAGCCATGACCGCCGTCTTCGTCTCCCCGACGATCTTTGAAGTCTTTTTGTCGGTTGAAACTTGGCAGGTGGGTGGGGCCGTCGTTTCGAGAACGCTTGCTGCATCCTTTTCCATGTCCAGCTTCGTCAAGCTATCAGCCCTGGCGCGGGCTCGGGCACGGCCATGCTCCGTCGCTTCCTTGGCGGTCATTGAGCCCCGCCTTGGTGGTTCAGGAAACTCCAGTTTGACCTCGGTTCGGCAGTAAAAAAGGAGATATGCATCCTTTTCCTGCAAGACGGTCTTCTCTGACACAGCTTCCACAAACGAATCGTCCATGTGATACCACTGATATGAACCGTCGGCTTTTGGTTTTTTCACGTAGGCGGTATAGTGCCCAGAATGGGAGCTTGACCCGACATGAATGACAACCCCCGTCAAGGCATAGGGACATGACCGGCCATCGCTAAGTGGAAGTTTCATTTCAGCAGGAAACCTGATTGGCTTGGTGATCTTGTTTCCACCGAACATGCCCCTGGAATAACCTGAACTGAACCCACTGTTACCACCAAAAGTGAATCGCTTCATTTGGACACAAAGCGACAGCGGTGGTCGGAAAACAGACAAAACCTTGTTTGCCCTTACGCGCTTGTTACAACCACCACACTTCCACCGATTGTCAGAGTCTAGTGTTTCCTTCCTGGTAAACTCTTGGAATGCTTCCGCCACATTGCTGATACCCTTCTTGCTGACCTCCAGTGCCAAGTCGAGAAAAGGATCGTAAGTGTTGCTGCAATAGCCACATTTCGAACATCGAAGCTGACTTCTTAGATATCCACCAAAGATTCGATGTACGAACGTGGTTTCGTCAAGGCGTGGCACTGGTAGGCGGTCTCTCCACCCGCTTGCACGTTGGTTTATGCCTGCCTCTTTTAACTCTCCGTTATGCATCCCATCGAGGAGATGCACTAGAAGTTCGTGTGCATCCTCTTGTCGTCCAGGCCTAAACTTGTAACCTCTACCCCCACTAGTTCCAAGGGAAGGCAGCATTTTGACCACGGCGTGTGGCGCAATTGCCCCCCCCTGTTGATTGCCGTGTACCTTCTGAAAGAAAAGCCGCAGCATAGCTGTGATTCTCTTTCCCTGGCTGGGCTTCGATCCGTGGCTGTCTCTGGCTGGCATGGCCAACAGACTTTGACAGAAAGGTGGAAGATACACCAGACATTGCAGAGTGCTATTGAGAAAGCAGGTGTTACCAAGGTTTTGAAAGCCAACGGGTTTCTTTGATGCTGCTGCTAGCCCAACAATGTTCCATTTGTGCGAATGTAGGACTTGAACTTCATCACAAAGGCCTCGTCTTGGTAGGTTAAGCTCTCCATCAGTTGAGTTAGCGCGAGGCCTCAGGCCCTTTTTGTCACGAACGGCATCTTCTACTGACATCCCTGAAAGTTTTCCTTCCATCTCCTCATCAGTGGATGCTGACCGCAATCTCCCAACATCGGCATGGTTTTCAGGAGGAGCCTTGGAAGACTCTTCTTTTTTCTTTCGTTTCGAGGTCTCCAAGATATCATCGATACTCTCTTTCGTTCTTACAAGTTCCACAACATCATGCTGCTGGTTGGTTGAGGACGGGGAGGCTTTGTTGTTGCAAATCGTTGTCTTGCCGATAAAAAAATAGGGCTTGGCTGTGCCATTCTGTTTTGGATAGACGAAATCAAGGCGCCTCCTGGAACGCTTTTCAGATCCCAAATCATCTGGTGAACTACCTGTGCCCTCTCCTGCGGTATCATTTTCCAGTTTTTTGGCACCCTTCCCTGCAGCAGAATTCGGCGCTGAGCTCCCATTTCGTCCATGCGTTAGGCCGTCTTCTTCGTCAGATAATTTGCTCCAGTGATTACCATTGCTGGCCTTTCTCTCTTGCCGCTTTCGTTTCTTTGCCGAGTTCTTTCCCATTTCCAGATAGCAGGTATTGTCTTCTCTCAATGCTGAACTCAAGGAGGACAACTAAACTGTTTTCCCTTGGCAGCAGCAGTGCAAATTGCAAAGGGCAATCTAAATGGTCAAATGCAACGGCAAAATGTCTTTAGGAGCAGGTGGCTGCACTAAAATGGAAATCCTAATTAGGGTCTGGGTTACAGCTTCTCAACACCCCAACCCTAAAGACGAAGTCATTAGTTTCGATTTCTGCTCCCGAAGACTGCTAGTACCAGGTAGCTAGTACCAGTACTAATACTAGCTAGTAGTACTAGCTAGGACAACACGACGGTCTCAGGCATCCAGATAACACATATAAAAAAGAGCTGCTCTAGACTGTAAGTTTCCATTTTTTCTTAGGCGAAGATACGCTTGTCATGGTCGGCGTTGACAATATCGTCAAGCAGGATTTGGAAATCCTCAGCATTGATAGATTTCAAGTCGTTGACCGTGCAGACACCGCCGTTCTCTCCGTTGATGGCGTACCTCTCGAATGTTCGGATAGCTGAGTTCATTCGAGCGCGATCCATGGCGTTACGGACGGTACGAGCATTGGAGAAGTAAGGCAGTTCCATACGCCTGGAGATGTACTCTTGGAAGACAGGGTATGCCTGTTCAGAAATGTCGTATTCCAATTGTCCAGCCATGACGGCAGCAATCTGGACGAGCTCGTCAGCAGAATAGTTGGGGAAATCAATGTGGTTTCCGATACGGGACATCATACCGGGAATGTAGGAGAAGAATGAGTCCATGCGGTCTTTGTATCCAGCAAGGGCAATGACCAGATCATCCTGGTTGTTCTCCATAACATTGAGAAGAATTTCAATGGATTCCTGACCGTAATCACGGTCATTGGCAGCATTGTACAAGTAGTAAGCCTCATCAACCAAAAGAACACCTCCCATTGCCTTCTTGATCATTTCCTTAGTCTTGGGAGCTGTGTGTCCCACGTATTGTCCAACAAGATCATCACGGGTGGCAAGGACGACGTGTCCACGACGGGAGTATCCCATCTTTGCCAAGATTTGTCCCATACGAACAGCGACGGTTGTCTTACCAGTTCCTGGAGCCCCAGTGAAGCACATGTGCAGGGATGGAACAGCTGTCTCGAATCCTAGCTTACGACGCATTTTGTCCAGAACAAGAAGGGCGGCAATTTCCTTGACACGTTTCTTGACAGGGACAAGACCCACCAACTCTCGGTCAAGTTTGTCCAATTGATCTTGCACACCCTCTTTGAACATGAATTCCTCGACTGGACAAGAAGAAAGTAAGATACAGTGTTAGCGTGCCACTCCAAACGGCTAGTGCTGCAGCATTCTACAGTAAGGACTAAACATGACACAAATGCTTACCAGTTCCAGCGGGAGTCTCGTCAGGCATATCATTCATGTACGCAATCTTCTTGAGACGCTCTTCACGACGGATTTCGGCAGCACGTTCCCTAGCATGGGCCTCCTCTTCTGCCTTACGACGTTCAGTGTCGGCTTCATTCAATCGATCTCGCAGACGGACAGTCTTGAAGGAAGCATCATCTTCATTTCCTCCGAATTCCAGAGATTTGCCACCGAAAACATTTTGGTTGGCATCCCCTGCTCCTGCCTCGTTGAAGATGGCGGAACCCTGAGAGTACAATCAATCAAACAAACAAAGCCAATGGATTAGATATCATTCGTGTTTTCCCCCTCTCGGATAACTCAGACTCCTACACGTAGCTGGCTAGCCAGCAGCAATGGATGCCCAAAACCAGAACGATAGAGGCAGCAGCTAGATATCCAGCTCAATATACCTCGTCTGGTGTGTTTCAACTCGGTCAAGGTCAAATCCAAAACCTGGCCTCTGCGTACGTAGCCAGCTAGCAAAAGCCAGGATATCATATCCAGCAATCCGACCATCCATCACAACTAAACTAAGAAGATCCTACAGTACTGTATAGCCAACTTACTCGTCCAAATGAGGTTTGGGCAGGAGCAAAGGCTGATGCCGACGCAACAAAAAGAAGGGAGATAGCGGTGAATTTCATGGTCAAAAGTCTCTTGGATTCAATGACTATATGGACGGCGGCGATAATAGTGCGACCCAAGTAGGAGAGAACCGACGATCGATCAAGGCTTCTCAAGGTGTTGACCTCTCACTCACTCATCGCATCCCGTCCATCATCATCCGTGCTTCTCCTTGGTTTGGATGTGGCTTCTTCGTCGTGCGTGTTGATGCCTGATGACGTACGCAGTGCTTTCGATGGAAGATCGGGCAATCCCGAATGCATGGCGCCAAAATATTATTTTAAAACTTCCGAGCCTCGACCTCCTTTCCCCTCCTCTCGCCCTTCCACCACCCAACACTGACTTTGGACAATGATCAAGATGAACAATACCGACATTTCTATCAGCAGTGAGAGACGCAGCTACATCGCCCAGCTATCGAACAGTAGATCTGAAAGAAGCAATGAGGGCAGCACCAACAGCTCTATGCGTTATCCGTCGGTATACCAGATACCACAGCCACAAGAAACTCCAATGCTGCCAGCACAAGCTGGTCTTGACAAGAATCATCCCTCGTTGCAAAAAGAGAATTTCAGTTGCAACAATGATGGAAACGATCCTTCTGGATCACGAAAACGCTCTTGGCAAGACACCAATGCTTCCTCTATAGCACCTGATGCCTCCCATATTCGTCACCCAAAAACTTCTGACAATGACAACAACAAGCGCCACGCTCCGTCTCGTTGGACGAACAAGAGAAAGTCCAAAATTCAACCAATGACGGCATTTTCATTACTCCAAAAGAACCAAAGTGCACGCCAGTCTCTCTACTTGATACCACCACCTGCTAGAAATGTCATTGCTAGCAATAATTTGAGTTGGCTCAAGCTTGGATTGGGTATCACGGAATTGGCAGGCGAAGCTGGATCTGGAAAATCTCAATTGGCCATGAGTCTCTGTGTTCAGGCTGTCACAATGCAGCAACAAACTGCGAGTATAACGCAAGGAAGGAGCCATAAAACTCCACCCTGCAGGGCTGTGTACATTTCTTTGTCAGGAGGACAGGCGTCATTGTCCCGCATTGCCTATCGCATGGAGCAGATTGCCAATGCGCAAAAACAACAATCTTGCAAGGATAATTCAGCTACAAACTATCCAATTTGCAACCAACAGCTTCCAGGGAGTGCTTTGCATGGTCCAACTACTACGTCTGAGGATCAGACCAATGCTGCATCAGCATCCGTCTTGCCACAAATATTGACTCATTCGGTTCGAAACCATGAAGATCTCTTTGCACTGCTTCGCGAAGACCTTCCTCATTGTCTCAAAGGAGACAGTCCCGACACCACTAATCCAGCGTCTTTTCAGCCAGACAACGCTCAGCTTCCAGGTGGTTTTCCTGGAGATACTACGCAACAACCGCAACATCCGGTGGCCCTAGTTGTGCTGGATAGCATTGCGGACTTGTTCCGACTGGGAAACAGCGACGAATCGGATGTGGAAAAGGGAGCCATTCTGAAGCGGTCTTATCTCATGTTTGAACTGTCAGCCATCCTCAAGGCACTCTCGGATCAGTACCAAGTGCCCATTTTAGTAATCAATCAGGTGACATGCGATCTTAATCGCAAGCAAAATCTCCCAGCTTTGGGCTTGTCATGGGCCAACTGTGTCAACACAAGTTACGTCATTCGTCGAAGCCGCTCCGCAGCCGGTGGTAACTCCTCTTCAACTCGTGCCGATGTCAATCAAGGGCTGCGGCATATCTTTCTTGCCAAGTCTGCCAACCATGCGGTGGACCAGAACGCGTCTTTTGTCATTGATAGCGGTGGTGTTCGTATGCAAGAAACGTGTGCCTCGAAGCGATGAGCCAGCATCTAACAGTAAAAGAATAGAACCGATTGTTGCAGGTTGCAAGCTCCGATAGTCCCAAAACGATGCCTCCGTAGGCATGGCATTGGCCGTACCAGCCGTAGATCTCAGTGTTGGACCGTTTGGACAATTGGTGGTCTTCATTTTGGCTGGGGCACAAGTTTAGATGTACATCTTGCCAGGCACCGCGTCAGCAGATTGATCCGGTGTCTTTCCTGGTGCCGGGCCAGGAGTGTTTCTTCGTGCTAGCTAGGGCAGCTTTTGGGGAAATTGAAGACGAGGTGGTAATCTTGTAGAGGTTAACGAATTCTTGTAAAGATTTTGGTGTTGAGTTGCGCAAAACCTGAGCAACCGCCCACGCATGACTGAAAGTACAGAAATAGCAAGGCGCCACTTCAGGCGACAAACAGATCCAGAAAAGCAAAAGAAATAAAGTGCAGTTGACTACTAGTTTAAAACCACTCTGAGGGTCCTCCAACCATCCACAACCATGAGTGCAGTACACCAAGCTCTAAGATACAGACATGCCCCTGCCGCGAGTTGTAATAATTTGGGTCTCCGAAGGGAGGCGGTTGTGTTGGGGCGCTGCTCCTGCGTTTTTGGCGGCCCTACGATGATCCATCACCCAGTTCGCCATCAAACAGCAGCAATCATCCTCCACTTGGATGGACGCTAGGCTGCTACGCTTGTAAAAGACGGCGTCCGTCTTGGCGCCGTTGGCAGCAACTCCCTTGGGAACAGCAATCTTGGCGTCATCCATGGGGTTTTCTTTCATCTGCTTCATACCTCCTTCATCCGCCATCAGTGTCATTACAAACCTCTTGGGGCGGAAAGTGCGTACCACGTTGCTGATCAAGGACTTGTAAGAAGTCAACTTCTGATTGGTCTCAAAGGAAGCGTAAGAAGATCCTGATTCAGGGGTGATGTGCATGGTAGAGTACGAACGGAACAAGATGGCGTTCATGGAATATCCACAGGGTTCAAAGGCGCGAGCATCAATGAGCGAACCAGGGCACAGCTTGTCAATACCACTGGCACTGGTTTGCTCCTTGCTAATGCGTTTAGTCTCATCGTCCTTGCTCTCTCCAGATTTGGCATCGTAAGCATCATAGTAGAAGAGCTTCGCGACATTCACATCAATGTCAAACATCATAATGTTCAAGACACGGTCAGTGTCCATCTCGCCTCCTGCGCGAATTGTCTGATCGGCTACAAAGACAAACCAATGATCATCTGTGACAGGTCCCAACGTGTATCCGTCGCCATCTAGGCGTTCGCAGAGGCTCTTGTGGCTGTAAAGGTAGTCCAATTCTTGGTGGAAGGATTGATGAGGAAAAGCCTGATCTCCTGGGAAGTTGAAGTTCTTTCGACTGTACCCAACCCAATCAATCTCCAAACCAAGCTTGCGTCCTAGCTCAATGAGGGTACCAATGCAACGGAGCAAGGTAGTAGTTCCGCAAGTCTTGAGCACCAACAAGTAGGGGTAGATGAAGAGGGAAGACTCCGATAAGACGTAGGCATCCAAGTACTGGTTCGAAACGGACGACAAGATTGTGCAGCGAGCACGGGCACAGATGCGATCCAAATCTGTTCGACCGAGCTGTCGAAGTCCCATTTTCCTGGTTCCAGTGTCTCCAGCTTCCGCAGCGACTTGATCAAGAGAAACCTCTCCTACTGTACTAATGTTCTCTTCTTGACCAACCTTACGAAAGCAGACTTCCAAAGTTTTCTCGGGGCCTTCAAAGACACCGGTATAATCACGGTCGATGCTTAGTTCACCCGAGTGTTCATCATCCGAAAACACTCCTGGAGGGGATGGTGGGCAAGCATCGTTGCAGTCAGGGGGTTGGTTGGGTTGGTGAGTGGTAAGGTGGGTGGTAGCTGCCACTTCCTCGGGGATACCGTGGCTAGATTCAGTGTCCGACATGGTTGTGTTGTTTCAATGGAAGAGATGTATTCCTGTTAGGTTCGTCAGGAAACAGATTCCTTGACAGATGGGAATGCCAAGGGGTTGGGAACAATGAAAACCAAGGCAGGGACGCGGGGAATGCTGTAAGCGCACTGAATAATGAGAAGGCAAAAGATTGTGGTTAGATTTTAAAAGACAAAGCCGACAGACAACTGCTGAACAGCCGCCAACATCTATTATCATAACAGTCCAACAAATAGATCCAGTCACAGTGGCTCTCACAGTCATACAAGGTCAAGCCGATCAAAAGCAAGGGGTGGTTGGTTTGCTCAGCACATTGTGGGTTTGTTATCACATGTCTTTTGTTTCCTTCTCTTCTTCAGAGAACGCAGGCCCGGAAGCATTGGTCGTTGGCGGTTGAGCGTTGGATTTGCCACCACTGGATCGACTCAGTGGATTCAATGCAGTCCACCAAAATCAAACAACGGCGAAATAGATTCCATCGAAAAACAACGGCCATGGTCCTCAACAAAAACAACAAACCTATGGATAACAAATTGTCTACTACACGTGTACTCACGGGCATTCACACAAGAACTTGTTTCAAGAAAGATAGAAAGCAAATGAAACGGTAGCGATAGAAATGAGGCAAACGCAACGTTTGGTGCAATTTTTGTGGCGGCGAGAAAGTGATGACTCGACAGGACTCCTCGGAGTTGAGTTGGACGGGAACTGAGTTTTGGAGATTGGGTTCCGGGAAAATAATTCAGCAAGCTGGGGTATCTAAATTTGCAATGCCCCCATTTGATTTTCCCATCTCCCTTTTGGTTGTTCAGTTTTGGAAGGAAATTTCGAGAAGAGAATCATTTTGAGGCCATAAATCTCTCCCGAGGTGCACCACGCAGCACGCACCACAGCGCACCCCATGCCCAGCACACGATTGCGAGAGTTCGGGATCCTTCAAAGTCAGAAACCAAAGAACACGGTCCCCGGACCACCCTAATAGATCTCTGACACTTGAGCATCATCTGTAGCTAGCTACTAGGTACTGGTAGCTAGCTGAAATAGTACCGGTAGGAGCTACCTGTTAGCTAGCTACTGGTCAACTCAGGATCAAGCAACAGCAGATAGTACCATTCCTAACATGGCAAGTCTTGGAGCAGAGAGTTCTCGGGCGACTTGGTCCTATCCTGGCACCAAAGAATCCATGAGCCGGACACCAGAACCCGCAGAGCCAAATTAGTGGAAGGGGCCAAATGATCCTACCGCACCGGAATGCACAATAGGTTCCACATAACTGACTGGCTACGACTGCAGCTACTCTACTCTAGTAGCTAGCAAGACGGTGCAAAAATAAATATTATGGCAGACACAGCTCTCCAAAAACTTTGGGGCTCGGACTCTCATCTTCGAAAATAAAAGATACCTTTCCTGCTTTCTCATACCGATAGCCTAATGTATTACAGCTTCACTAGCTAAAGTTCAAAAGCGGGCATGCTCGTCATTGGTCAAAGCCGTTTCTTTTCCGTTCCTTTCCCGCCTCTAAGGTGCGGGTTTCTGTTGCTCAGAAACCGGAGTTCGTGCCAACATTTCTGTGTTGTCTGCCTCACAAATCCTCAACCTGGCTTGACAGAACAACAGCCGATAAACTCTACCTTTGATCATGTCGTATGTAATGAAGCGCGATGGACGACGAGAGTCGGTCCACTTTGATAAGATCACGATCCGAATCAAGCAACTTTGTGGTGGTCTCAATGTCAAGGTTAGTTTGTGTGGACGAATGCAAAAGTGTTTTGGTTCTGTGCTTTGTTCCCCTGAAGGCTAACAGTTCTTCCGACGCCATTTTCTTGTGTTGATTTGTAACATGATAGCATGTCGACCCTGTTGTCATCTCGCAGAAGGTGATTCAAGGTGTCTACCCTGGAGTGACTACCTCTGAACTTGACGAGTGAGTTTTTCTGTGGTCCCTTTGACGTGTCATTGGAATGTGTGCAGTTAATGAATGTGGATTATGTTCGCTTGCTCAACTTCCTTCCATCTATGCTCCCTTTAGATTGGCAGCTGAGACTGCTGCTTCTTTTGCTACGCAGCATCCTGATTACTCTATTCTTGCCGCTCGAATTTCTGTCTCCAATCTTCACAAGATGACTGAAGGCACCTTTTCGGAATTGATTGAAGCTTTTCACAAGTTCATTCATCCCAAGACAGGAGCTCCTGCTCCATTGGTGTCGGATGAAACCTATAATATTGTCATGAACAACAAGGACACGCTCAACAATGCCATTGACCACAATCGCGATTTTGAGTACGATTACTTTGGGTTCAAAACTCTTGAGAAGTCTTACCTGCTCAAGATGAATGGCAAGATCTCAGAACGCCCCCAGCTGATGCTCATGCGCGTGGCCATTGGAATTCACGGTGACAACATCGACGACGCCATTGAGACTTACAATCTTTTGTCGCAACGATACTTCACTCATGCTACCCCCACGCTATTCAACGCTGGTACCTGCATGCCCCAAATGTCTTCTTGCTTTCTGCTCACCATGAAAGCAGACAGCATTGATGGAATTTATGAAACGCTCAAGAACTCTGCCATCATTAGCAAGTATGCCGGTGGTATTGGCTTGGCCATTCACAACATCCGTGCAAGCTCTAGCTACATTCGAGGCACCAATGGCTCAAGCAATGGCATTGTCCCCATGCTCCGTGTCTTCAACAACACGGCTCGCTATGTCGATCAGGGAGGCGGCAAGCGTAAGGGAAGCATTGCCATCTACTTGGAGCCATGGCATGCAGACATTTATGCCTTTTTGGATCTGCGAAAGAACCACGGAAACGAAAGTGATCGCGCCCGAGACTTGTTCTATGCCTTGTGGGTTCCCGATCTTTTCATGGAGCGAGTCAAGGCCAATGGGGATTGGAGTTTGATGTGCCCCGACGAATGCCCCGGTCTTTCGGATTGCTTTGGAGACGAGTTTGTCGTTCTCTATGAAAAGTATGAGCGTGACGGCAAGGCACGCCAAACTGTCAAGGCGCAACAGCTATGGTTTGCAATCTTGGACGCGCAAGTGGAGACGGGAACTCCTTACATGCTCTTCAAAGATCACTGCAACCGCAAATCAAACCAGCAAAACCTTGGCACTATCAAGTGCTCCAACTTGTGTACGGAGATTGTGGAATACACTGCTCCTGATGAAGCCGCTGTTTGCAACCTTGCCAGTATCAGCTTGTCCAAGTTGGTCACCCCTGCCACTGATTACGAGGCAGGCAAATTTGACTTTGACAAGTTGAAGGAGATCGCCATGGTTGTAACCAAGAATCTCAACCGTATCATTGACAGAAACTTCTACCCCATTCCCGAAGCCAAGAAGTAAGTGACCTGTTGTTGGGGCTGCCTTGTTCTCCCCGATCTTACAGTGCTAACCATTTACTTTCCATGTAGGTCCAACTTGCGTCATCGCCCCATTGGTATCGGTGTACAAGGCCTCGCAGACGCGTTCATGCTGCTCAAGATTCCGTTTGATTCGCCCATTGCTCGGCAATTGAACAAGGACATCTTCGAGACTATCTACTTTGGAGCCTGCACTGCCAGTTGTGATCTCGCGGCCGTGGATGGACCTTACGAGACTTATGAAGGATCACCCGCCAGTAAGGGGAAGCTTCAGTTTGATCTGTGGGACGTTACCCCTGAAAGTGGCCGATGGGATTGGGATGGCCTCAAGGAGAAGATTGCAGAGCACGGAATGCGCAACTCTTTGCTCGTGGCACCAATGCCCACCGCGTCGACCGCCCAAATTCTTGGCAACAACGAGAGTACAGAGCCATTCACATCGAATATGTACAATCGCCGCGTCCTGGCAGGTGAATTCACAGTGGTCAACAAGCATCTATTGCGCGAGCTCACTTCAAAAGGTCTGTGGACCGAGAAAGTTCGCAACCGCATCATTGCCGACCGTGGATCAGTGCAGAATGTGTTTGACATTCCCCAAAACATTCGCGAAATCTACAAGACGGTTTGGGAGATCCCTCAACGCTCCGTTTTGGACATGGCCGCAGATCGTGCTCCATATATTTGCCAGAGCCAGAGTTTGAATGTGCACATTGCCGATCCAAACAGTTCCAAACTCACGAGCATGCACTTTTATGCCTGGAAGAAGGGGTTGAAGACAGGAATGTATTACTTGCGAACACAACCCAAGGCAGACGCCATTCAATTCACTGTGGATCAGGAAAAATTGGCTGCCGACACACGAACTTCCTCCGCTTCCCCACCCAAGATGGAAAAGGAGAACGGTGCCATCTTCGTGAAGGGTTCTCCTCAGGGCATCAAGGGCCTCGACACTCAAGATGACGAGGATGAGTGCCTCAACTGTGGCGCCTAAGCGGCCGATGGAGTCCCACATCTCATATTCAGTCCGGAAGCGAATATTTATTTACTAACACTAACAACTGTAGTAGTATGACAAATCAGTTCGTCGCGAACTATAGTTTCTAGTAGCAACATGTAGACAGGCGAGTAACACCGATGGTAGCATCATCATGTCATCATGTCGTCCTACATCACAAATCTCCTGGCATGTCGAATCGACATGCAAATGATTCCACTTCATCTCGGAGAGCCTCAATCTTTCCTTTGATGTCTGTGTTCTCCTGCAGCTCGGTCAGGAATTCTTTCATGAGCACCTTTTTGTTGGACGCGGCTTCCCCTCCTTCCTCTTGCCGACTCTCGAGAATGGAATCCTGTGCTTCGATGGCTAGCTGACATCCTCGGTGAAGAAAGTCTGCTACATGGTCAAAGTCTTGTTCATTCAATCCTCTCGAAGTGAGTGCTGGGGTCCCCAATCTCACGCCTCCGGGATTAATGGCAGAAGTGTCACCAGGAATGCTGTTCTTGTTGGTTGTCATGCTTGCCAGCTCCAGAACCTTTTCTACTTTGGACCCAGTGAGACCCAGAGTCCTCACGTTCCACAAGAGTAGATGATTGTCGGTTCCTCCCGTCGCCAGAATGTGTCCTCTCTTTTGGAGTCCCTGTCCGAGGGCGTCGGCATTTGCTAGAATGGCTTTTGCATACTCCTTGAATTCTGGTTTGTTTGCCTCCTTGAGCGCGATGGCCAATGCTGCAATTTGATGATTGTGTGGTCCTCCTTGAAGCGAAGGAAATACAGCGGCATTGACGTCATCCATGTACTGTTTCTTGGCAAAAATCATGCCCGACCGCGGCCCTCGCAAGGTCTTGTGGGTTGTACTCGTTACAATGTCGGCGTATTGGAATGGACTCACAGCCACGTCCCCGGCCACTAATCCACTGATATGAGCCATATCTACCATGAGCAATGCTCCAATGGAATCAGCAATCTTTCTCATACGAGCGTAATCCCATTCGCGTGGATATGCAGATCCTCCTGCAATCAATAGTTTCGGAAGAAACATCTTTGCTCGACGCTCCATTTCATCGTAGTCAATGTATCCGGTTTCAGAGGAAACAATGTATGGCATGCTTTCAAAGTAGACGCTGGTGGCGGATACTTTCTTTTTGGGAGTTTGGAATCCATGTGTCAAATGCCCCCCTGATGGTAAATCGAGGCCCATGATGCGATCATGGGGGGACAAGAGGGCCGTGTAAGCTGCAAAGTTAGCAGGAGACCCAGAATAGGGTTGGACATTCACGCCCCACTCGTCCGAGTCAAGTCCGTACAATTCCAGTGCCCTCTCCATGCAGATTGTTTCAATTTTATCGATAAACTCGTTGCCTCCATAATACCGTTTCCCAACTGCAATGCAAATGATCGATCGATCGATCGTCACAGAACAATAAAAATATAGTTGAGAAACCCAATCTTCCTTTCTTCACAAAAACCATTCCTTCTTGATTCATTCATTTGCCCCGCGTACCTCCTCCTTCACTGTACTTGTTGGTGAGGCAACTCCCCAAAGCAGTTCGTACGGCCCTGCTCACAAAGTTTTCGGACGCAATGAGCTCCAGACCATTTCTTTGCCGTTTTTCTTCGGCATCGATCCATGAGGCAATCTCAGGATCCAGTTCTGCCAGAGAAATTTCCGATTCTTCTTCAGTGATCTCCGAGTCAGATGCAGGAACCATATTAATTCCAATAATGGATGATTTACTTGGACTTGCAGCTTCAAAATCAAAATCAACACATGTAGAAGTTGGCACTCGGTTATGGACGGAAGCAGGAGGAAATACAAAGGCGGTTGAGGGGCTTGCCAGAATCACCAGGAGAGCTGACAGCAGCATCGTTATCATTCTTCCTCTTTCTTTGGGTTTGTTTGTGCGATAATCAAAGATCAATTGTACTGTGGTACCACTGGTAATGCTGCTCGGCCCATCATTATTCATGCTTCGAGGTTCATTCGTTCTGATGAGTGTCAGTCCAGCAGTACGAGCAGCTTCGATTTATTGATTCAAACGGTGCCGCTTTCTGGTACATTTCTACGAGAGCTCTGTAGAAGTGTACGAAAAGGTGGCCGCGTTTGAATCAATAAAACGAAGCTGCCTGTACTATAGTAGCATTTCCACCTCCAAAGTGCGTGTTTTGAGTCGAAAGGAGGAGGGTTAAGGTTTTTTTCAACGATCTTTTCGGAGCTCCGTCGAAGGCGGCTCACCGTGACAGGACCGCATCCGCATGATCGCCAGAACCATGCACAACAGCATTGCTCATAAAAACAAAAGAATACAAAGACCATGGCCGAAGACTCAGTAACAGTGAACTTGACAGTGACCGCCACCCCAGCGGCTCCTCGCATTCCTCTGACAATCCCCAAGGATGTCACACCGACCAGCTTGCGAAAGTTGACGAGTGAAGCGTCCAAGATTCCATTGGACAAGCTTCGTTTGATTTTCCGGGGCCGCTTGATTGGAGATGACGACAAGAAGAATGCTGTCACAGAGTTCAAACTCGAAGAAGGAACTGTCCTTCATTGCATGGGCAAGCCAGAAGGAGACACGACTACTGCTACGGCAGCAGCTGCACCAGCAGCCACGGCTTCAGCAGGATCGTCCGTTACCATCCAACCAACAGCGGCCGCTACGGCTCCTGCTGCTTCGTCGTCAAATCCATTGCAGGCAGCGTTTACCACATTGCGTTCCAATAATCCTCCTCAAACGTACATGACAGCCGTCACAACGCTCGATAAAATTCTCAACAATATCGTGACCAATCCCATGGAGGAAAAGTACCGTAGAGTCAAGAAACAAAACCCTGCGTTCCAGAAACGTTTGGGAGGATTGACGGGTGGTGATGCCGCCATGAAGGGCGCTGGATTCATTGTGGAAATGGACAATGGGGAGGAAAATTATGTTATGCATGCCTCGGCGGAAAAGTGGCCAGAATTGATGGCGGCCAAAACGGCCGTCGAAGTGGCTGTGCGAGATGCCAAGGCAGCCGCCAATCAAGCTAGTGCTCCTCCTCCAGTTGTTCCACTTGTCGGTGGAATGCCGAATTTTGGAGCAATGCCAGGACTTGGTGGTGGTGCAATGCCAGGACTTGGTGGTGCTGGCATGCCTCCAGGAATGCAACAAATGATGAGCGATCCCAATTTCTTGCAAAACATGCTGCAGGTGAGTTTTGTTTTTACTTCTAGTATGATTTGCTTTGTTTTTAAATTTCTTTCATGCTCAATCTCAACGTGACTATATTATTGTGACCATGACGACAACACCCAAAATAATTGTGTAGAATCCAATGGTTCAGAATGCCATTCGAAACGACCCACGATTTGCTGGAGACCCAATGATGCGACAAAGCATGGAGACACTTGCGAACAATCCTGCCATGGTTCAGCAAATTGCGACCATGATGAGAGATCCTCAAATGCAACAACGCATGCAGCAAATGGCCGCCGCCGGAGGAATGGGGGGCTTTGGGGGTGCTGGTATGCCTCCTTTTGGAGCAGTACCCAACAACAATGCTTCGCCAGGAACCAACAACAACCAGCAACAGCAAAATGCACCGGGAGCCAATGATCAAGACCAGACAGAGGAGGAAATGATCGCTGAAGCCATCCGACGATCTCTGGAAGAAGGGGGTGCGTAGATTACTACGTTTGTGTAGCACTCGAGAACGAGGCTTGGATATCTGAGCCATCATAGAACACTTCCCTGTCAAGTTTGGGATTGTTTCGACTATAATTATTGAGTAAGCTACTTGCTGGTAAAGTAGGTACTGTACCAGTAGTATGAAGAAATATCGCATGATATAATACGGTCCTGGTAGCGAACTGTCAAAAGCTGGAGCAGGTTACTCTTACCGTATCTTCCGAGGTACCGTAGCGAGGGGTACGGATAGAACAGCAGCATCTGGATCTGGAAACCAACAAGGATGCTCCAATGCTCCTCATTGCCATAGTTCTGATCAAGGGGAGAGGGAAAATGTTTCATCGTTCGCCTGCCCCTTCCTTTCTCTGTGACTCGGTCCAGAGACTGCCAAGTACTTCACAGAGAAATTCCAAGGAAACACTGTCATATGCAACTGTTTGCCGCTTGCCATCCAGGCTGATTGGAATGCCTATCATCCCTTTCTCTTCCGGCCATTCAACTCCGGCGTAAAAGTCCAGACCGCGAATAAGAGTTGCCTTTTTGGTGTCAAAATCATCCTCATTTTCCATGAAATCCCTGATTTCCTCTGGGGTCCTTGGGGTTGCTGGTGGATTGTTGGCTGCACAGTCAGCTGCACTTTCGGTCTGAAGAGTCAAGCTTCGTGATTCGGTCCCAGGTGCTGGGGTTATTCCACGGAAAATAAAAAAGGCCACGCCATAGTCAAAGCACAACTCCTCGTCTGGTGCGATATCTCGCGCAGCCGTAAAATGAGCCGTCTGCTGCTCTTGATCGGCATGAACAAGTAGATTGGGATTTGAATTGTGGTTGATGAGACGCGACCAATGGTTGCTACTGGATCCATCAATAGAGTAGCCATTCCCAATTTGCAAGCAGTAGTCTGGGTACCTCTCAGGGTATAGTTCAAGCTCCTCATCGACTGTCAAAAGCTGCCCATGATAGCAGCACACAAAGGTACCGTGAGAGATGGCTTCCGAAGCAAAGACGCCATCGCCCTTGGGTGGAGCTGGCTTGGCCGCCACTTTCACTTCTGGAGGCCACACACTACAGTCAACATTCAGATATATATACTGGGGGGGATTCAGGAATTCAGTAAATATAACAGCGAGAATAAATATTGATTTTATCCCTAACCCTAACTATTCCCGTAGAATTGTACGTGCTCTAGTACTAAAATAGGGTTAGAGTTAAAAATGTGGGAACTGGAGTATTCTTAAATATTATAGAGCGAATAAATACAAGATTATAAATATAAGCGAGCGTTGACTGTACTGGACAGTCCAAATGTAAGAGGAAGGAAGCATACTACATGTAGTAGAACAAAAGCCATAATCTCGGATATGATCAAGCTTCTTCTCTTTGCATGAGGTGCAGAAATGAAGACCACTGCGGTTGACAGCGGCATTATGCCGCTGTGACGTGTCAGTACCACATCGTTACTCCTTGGAGAGCGGGGCGTACTTTTTTAAAAAAAACACCAGCCATCCCTCCAGAATATAATCCTCCCCCGCTACCATGGTCATATACTATCTAGAAAACTGTACCATTTTTAATCGCTCAAGTTACTGACTTTACCACACTATCTCTTATCTGTTGACTGCGCGAATACTATGCAGTCACACAGAGAACAAAGCTTTTTTTCGCTCATTTTTCTTTTTCCTTTTACAGTTGCCATACCGACAACAACACACACGCTTACTTTTTTCATGGCTAGTCCATGTACAGATCCACAAGAGTGGCAATGAGAGCTGCCACGCAGTTCTCCACGGGGGTAGGAGGGTTGGCTTCTTTATTGGCGTTCACATCCACAAAGTGATAAAGGAGAGTTTTGTCTTGCGCAAGGGTGCTTTTTGTCATTGCTGCCAGAAGCTTGAGAGCAGGGACTTTCATCGCCTCGAGCAGTCGCTGTTTACTTGCTCTGTCGCTGGACTTAAGCCTCAATGCTGGAATCCTGTAGTCGGGTGTGGCAGCCCCTCCAGCAAGGGTGGAATGCACACCTTTTGCACCTGGATTGCCAATTGCTCTGGCATGAAACATGCTCTCGGATGCCCAGTATTGCGGCCACTCTCCTAACTTCAACGTTGGCCCAAGAGATTTAGAGCGCACTGGCTTCTTTTTCTTCTTGCTGTTGTTGTTGCTATCGTTGCTTTTGATCTTCTTCTTCTCTTCTTTCGCCAAGAGGTGTCGAACCTGTGCTTGGGCCTCTTTCTGTTTCCACTCCTTCTTCTTACGGGCCAAGTAGTTCTTCGGGATGTTTTCTTTTGAGCCATTGTATTGGGTGCTTTTGCTGTACCAGGCAAACTTGTCTTTTAGCATTTTTGCTGACTGGTCAGTCTGGCTGCTCGCCTTAAGCTCTTTGGCATACAGGGTTCTGAAATAAGGGCTCATGCTTTTCATCTTTTCCTTTTCTGCATCATCGAAGCCATCCATCGAGTCCACTGAGCTATCGTCGTCCTCGCTCTCACTGGAGGAGGAACTGTCAAGTTGGATGGGTCGTTGTGACATGTGCCTGCTTCGCTGGACTCTAGTGGGTGCAGGCTGGACAGTAGGGAGAGTGGCAGTGGCAGTAGATTGGCTCTACGTTGCACGCATGACACCATGGGAGTTTGCACTCGCAGCAGTCTGGACAGAACCTGCATTCGAAACTGCAGCAGCACTGCTTACAGTACGGCCAGATGTCTGGAGTTTCACAGCAGGTAAAAAAGAGCAGCCATCAGGTGGAGGTGGAGGTGGCTTCATGATTTCCTCGTAGACCGCCGCTCTCTCTTTCTTAATGGCACGAATTTGCCAGTCTTCGTATCCTCCATTCACGGTGACCTTGTTATTTGCGTCAACAACCACTTTCTTTCCGGGGACACTAGCTCTTTTCCACTCGGGTTCTTTCTTCACATTGACTTTTTTGGTCACAGCTGGCAGCTTCCTGTCTTCTTCTTCACCCTCGCTGTCACTATCGATGGTGAGAATTACGGCGTCAGGAGGAATGGGCTTCTTCGTGCGACCTTTCCCAGAGACTTGGGCAGTTCCATTCAGCACGTACTTTCCATCCCCTGCTGGGATGGAAGACCGCTTCAGTGGGGGGCAAATAGAGGCAACAGATGAGGGGGTGGGTGCATGGTGCTTTGTTGGTGTGAGTTTCCTCTTCGAGACATCACCGCCCCCTTTTTTTGCTACCTTTACGTGCGACTTTTCGGTGGCCCTCGGATCGCCACTTTCCATGGAGTGTTCCTTCGGCGAAGCATCCTGAAAACGAGTGCATTTCATGGGAGACTGGTCCCAGTGTATTGGACGTTTTGGAAGAACAAAACGTACTGTGAGAAGGCTTAGTGTTCTGTGTTCTATAGAAGCCCCAGTCAGGACAACTTACTGTCATAACGCCGGTGGGAGACTGATACTCCCCCTTGATGAACATTGTAATCGGGCTTTCCACTGTTGCATCTACTTCAGAAGACGCAAGATAGTTTGCGATGGCCTCATCGGCACGACGAATGGCATCGGGAGAAAGCTCCGTGAAAGGATCTTCCTCCATCGTTACTTCGAGAGCAAGGACGCAGCGCTGTGAGGTGGGCAGATAATCAACTATTATATATTCTGTTTTTTACTATTTTGTGTGCCTCTACCAGCAGATTTGCTACGCATTCTCTGCCGACAAGACCAAAGGATGGTGCATCGGATGGAAGAAAACAGAAAACTCCCTGTCTGGCATGACGGCGCCAAATTTTTGATCCTTCAACTTGCTATTTCATTGGAGGCAGGACATCATTTCAAGTTTTGGTACATAGGACGAGGTGGCATGGCAGGAGCTCATTCTATTTTAATGTATGGATTCGTCAATGAGCATTGTTAGGGCCTGGCATCCTTCAAAACGGAGGTTTGCCCTTACTCATTGCAAGCAAGGGTGTTGGAGGAAACATACCTGACACCTCTTTACTATTGACTCGTGTATTAATCATCTAGTTTCTATTCCGGTTCGCATGTAATTATATGCAAGGAACCAAGGGAGTTTTAGGTCTAAAGTGTTGCGGGGTCCTTATATCCAATTCAATCACAAGAATTGCTATCACCACCAGAAAATCCTCACTTTTCTTTTCAGCTTAATCTAAAACCAAATACTCCCCAATAACTGCAGTATTACTAGCAAATAACAGTGAAAAGCAAAAGGCCATCTGAGTTACTACTACCGATCTCGAGATCGATATCAAGGTAAACCAAGCAAGTTAGAGTTCTGAAGTGATGTCAACACCTGCAACAGAGTAGAGGTGCGAAGAATCAGCCTCTAGCCACACTATCAAAGCATCGAAAAGCCTCTAAAACGAAAGAGGTGCTGCGCGAATTCCCATCTTCAGCCAATCGAGTACGATCGATCACAGTTTCCGGCCGGACCTGGAGAGATCTACGTACACCAGTGATAAAGGAGAACAACTACACGGATTGTCCGCTGAAGCAAGGAAATCGGCTGTTATTCACCGAGTGAAGAGGATTACGTCATCGTGTCATCGCGAGTGATTTTCGTCGTCTCATCACAACGAGCAGAACTATCGAACGGCGATTAAGATAAGTCGCGACACAGGCGTTGCAAGCAAGAGTCCAATACATCAATCGATAGAGGACATCTAGCCGCATCCTGAGTATCAGTGCAAGCTTCTAACTCAAAGAATTGAGTGAGATAGGTTGATCGAGTGATACAGTGCTACTGTGGAAGAGAAACACAAAAATCACCAAGGAAGCTCATAAGTATCACGGAGACCCAAATCTCACCGTGCACCTGTTTCAGAACATTGAAACTCACTCAGGCACTCATCTAACATCAATACAAGGCCTGCAGCAAGAAAGCAGAGATAGGAGACCGACAGAGGCAGTTCGCCTACTACCCAAGGCCCACACAAGTACACCACGAGTTCCTCTGGAATACGTGAGCTGTTAATCAACAGAGGCTATCCAGCCACACACAGGTGCACCAAGAGTGACAAAAAGAAGGCTATCCAGCCAACAAGAAGCTTTTACAGGCAACTACAAGATAGTGCCCGTCGTGAGATCCTTCCTGCAGGAGTATCCACACAAAGAACACAGCTAGTTCCAAGGAACAAGCAAGCACAAGAGTGCATTACCACACCAACAAGACCATGAGATTCCAAGAAGAGGTGGTCGTGGTGGAGGAAAATACCCTTCTAGGGGGGGTAGGGGATCAATTCCTCAGGAAGAAGCCATCAAGAAGAGCAACAGCTACAGAACCAAACAAGAGTCCCAAGCGTCAGTTCCTCTTCATCAAATGGACAGGCTGACACCAGGTATTACCTTTTGAAGAGACCCTGACACACATTGTCAAGGATCTAAGGATCAAGCCTGAGTGGAATGATTTTCCCTGGCTTCATTGCCATTGAGACCATGACAAGTCAGGCACCACCAAGCCGACCAAGCCAACACTCCAGGCATCACTCAGATCCCAAAGCCCAAGAGTACGATGCTTTGAACTGAGCGAGTACAAGGCAAAGTCATCCATCTATGACAAGTCGACTCGATCCTATGAGAACATTCTCAAGACAGGTGCAACCACCATCCAGGTGACTACTGTACCGACGCCATAAAGTCCAAGCTTAGAGGTCTAAGAGACTACGAGGATGCAGTCAACTGGATCCCATTGAGTTGCTCAAGAGGATCAAGATTGATAGTGATGCAAGCTCAACCAAAGAGTTCCATTCTACAATACATCAAGAACCATCCAACGTGGCTTGTCCCAAAGCAAGGGACCATACAGAGTTGACTTCTACTTGAGAAGGTGACAGCGACGTGGACCAAGTTAGACCTGGTGGAACAGAGTCATTGATGTCAGGACTATGGTTTGGCTGAATACAAGTCCGCACCAGATCACGAGACAAGAAAAGATACTAGTGACGGAAAGGGCTAGTTGAAAGCAACCGTGGCCTACCATGGACTACAGGAGGGAAAGATACGGAGATAACAGAAGACTGTTGAGGCAGCCTATGCCATGAACGGTACAATCCAATTCCCTGATACCCTTGATCATCTTAGAGAGACGCTGTCCAATGACAGATTCAAGCCCAGCAAGAATGGCTGGACCAACGGAAGGCCAAGGACCGGAACCATATTCCAATCCCAAGCCACCTCCTTTTGATCCCAAGAAGATGAAGGAAGGGCTCCCAGCTGCGGTCTTCTATCAGCAGTCCCAGCCAGCCGAAGCCTGCTACTGTTGTGAACCCAGATCACAAACTTCCAAAGTGCAAGGTCGAAGGCAAAGATCCCAAGCCCGATGGGCAATCAACAATTAAATGGCATGAAAATCCTTCATGCCCAGTTACCACCAACATCAGATCAGCTCTCCAAGGAGTGCCCAACAGTGGTACCCACCACCCCTGGAGCTCCAGCAGATTCATGAAGCCCTCCACCTCCTACAGCCCACTCCAACTCAACATTCCCCATATCAAGCCAAGCCTCCCAGACCAGCGCGGCAGGGTCACTACAGTTCCATTTTCAGCCCATCAATCGATGGAGTCCCGCCCTGAATGGGCAGAGATGATTCAACCACCGACAGTGAGCTGGAAGCTTCCATTGACTGGGAGCATCGCTACGATTTCCTTGGAGCATCCCACTTGATGCAGAAGAAGTGGAGGCATGATTAGACATCTTCCGAAGAAAGCTATCACTCCGCTACGGCCATGATCAGCTGCTGAGGGAGGTCCGACGGTGTAAGCATCGATCCGACCTTATCCTCCAGAGTACAATGATACACATATATAATTGTCAGTCGTTTTGCCACCCTGACACCGTCTCAACACAGATCCATTCGAAGGAGTCATCTCTCGTAGTGGTCAAGACGATGATCAGAGCTCTGTTCCACTACAGCTCGGATACAGGGAATGAATTTCGTTCTTGTACCGTGACCCAGCCGGCGTCAACGGAGAATCAGCGAGGCAACTTTTATGAAGATTTTCAAGACCAAGACTCACTCCAAGTCGAAGAACAGACCATACAAGTTGCGTTTGAGTTCCCAGGAGTGGCAGATCCGAACTCACAGGAGTGCAAGCCAAATCTTGCAGGAGTGTCGGTCAAGAACCTCATTCCTGATGGAGCCAACACAGTGTATCTCGACAGTGGCAGTTCCATCCGAACTGTCATGAACCAGACATGATTGTCGCAAGCGGCTATCTCCCGACCAATCGAGATGGCCACCAATGTTGGAAGCACCAAGCTTACTCCAAGAAGGAGACACACCTTACGGCAATGGTTATTCAATCAGGAGGCATCGCCAAACAACGCTTTGTCTCTTGTGTGGATGACTGCGTCAGGGCACAGGATGGATCCTATGTCCTCATGGACTCAAGAGTCGACGACGCCATCTACCACTACCGCCCAACTGGGATCCATACAGGTATGGACGGACCGCCAAAGTCTGTATGGGTGTGATTGAGCAAGACCTCTGGATCACATGGCCCAACTCAACCAGTTTTCACCGGAGTTCCAGCATTTGGTCCAGACGGTGGAGGGCAAACTCGAGCTTTACCAAAAGCAAGCAAGGGTGCATTTCTCGCAAGAAATCTGTACCACAACCTCCAGCGCCCATCTTTGGAGGGCTACCGCAACATGATCAGGACTGTTCAAATTCGCGACTTGTCCCGTAAAGCTGGAGGACATCGATCGCGCCGAATTAATTTTGGGAGCGACATGGCAAGGCCAAGGGCTCTACTACACGCAGACGCCCCCCACAGTGACCGACAGTATTCAATCTGTACCGAATGAGCTGGTGGCACCACAAAGGTTCCTGACCGGATGAATGGATGTTTTATGTCTATGAGATTGCCTTTCTGGCATTCACTGACTTGTCAAATCCGACACCGCGAATAGCCTACCTGACACAACAGAAAAGGAAAATCATCTATCCGCCATTGACAAAATTTTTGATCGGTAGGAAATAATGATTTCAAAATCAAAGAAATACAGTGCGACCTGGAGTTCAAGAGCTGATGATCCTGTCAAAACGACATGGAGCTCAACTCAACCATGGAGCGCTCAGACTCACAGTGGTCCGCCGACGGAACATCCGAACCTTGAAGGAGCGCATCCGCGCAGCCTGGCATTCAAACCCCGTTCATGGTGATGCCAAAGTGATGATTGTGGAATTGTGTACGATGTTAATGTAACTCACCTCTTCCCGCGCTTGATTGAATCTCCAAAGTGTATCCTCCCAGGCAGATCTTGAGGTCGGACCACACAACTACAAAGATATTCAGTACACTTTTGAGCTTTGTCTCGCTTCCAACGAACCAGAAAGCTCAATTCCATGGAGCCCCGGCGATTGGATTGCTTCTATCTCCGTCCATTGATGGACACCACCAAGGTGGACACAGTTGGATGGACCTCGTCACCTTTGAGGTGATCACGCACAGCATGTCCGCATCCTGCCGATGCCTCGCTCAGTCATTGATGCTTCGAAAAGAAGCATACGGTGAGGGTAAGAACCACTAATCTTTCACACCGTGACTTTGTGAATTTTTACCTTAGGTTTGCCTGCAGGAGTGATGTGTCAATGGAAATGAGAGCTACCTCAAGTCTATGGAGACTCTTCGGACGAAGATTCAGTGGAATCCCGGAATCAGATGAAGATTTGAGGATGGAACGCCCCAGGGCTAGTACAAAGGGCATCCAAACAGTATGCCAAAACATTGACTCCGATGAAGAAGGAGAAGAGGGATTCCAATGAATCCCAACAAGCACAAGTCCAGACAACCCAAGTTGAAGAGACGCACCACAGGATACCAATGATGGAAAGCAACTCGCTGACCAGCCAAGCTTCCAAGCTTCCTCGAGTTGGAATTCGACGCTCAGCTCGGATCGCCACAGCCGAACAAAGAAAGGAGCTACCTTCATCCAAGATGAGAAGCGAAGAAAACCACTATGTATGAGACAAGAGACAAGCAAACATCTAGCTTTGTTCAGGACTCCTGTAATCACAGAGTGCCACAGCAGAAGTAAGGATGAGAGCAGCCATCCCAACAACATCTTCTACCCAAGGTCTGAAAGTGTGGGGCAACACAAAGCCAGAAAGGCGGCGCTCAAAGAGATGACCAGCTACACAGCAGATGTTTCAGTCCAGTCGACCCAAACGAAATGCAGTGATTTGAATTGAAAAAGGCACAAATGGCACTTATGTTTGTGAGTGAGAAAAGGGATGGCACGGTCAAGGACCGTGCAGTCTACAATGGGAAACCTACAAGGTGTACCATCAGAAAGAAGATGCCAGAAGTCCAACAGTTTCACTGAGGGTTTGTGTTATCCATGTGGTGTCGATGCATCTGAAGATAGGATGTGATGTCCACTGGATGTTCCAATGCGTTCATCCAAACCCCAATGCCAAAATTCAAACAAGGTGAAGACAGGTCCTCATGATCATTGAGGGTACCCTTGCAGACTTACTTGTTGAAATAACCCTGACACATATGCCTCTTCCTGACATACAAAAAGGGACGCGTCCTTATGTTGTCGTGGAAGAGCCATTTATGGATGTTTTGGCAGCATTACTTGGTACAAGCTTTCAGAAGCGACCTCGAAGAAATTGGTTTGTGTTCAACAGATACGATCCTTGTGTGGCCAACCGCATGATCGAGGGTACCAACAAACAATCCGATTCCATGTTGACGACCTAATGTCAAAGCCACAGAATGAAGTTGTGAAAACCAAACTCTGGAATGTTTAACGCTAGGTATGGAACTATGGAGCCGTAAAGGCAACCGTGGTCCCAAGCATGACTACTTGGGATGACGGTGGATTTTCCAACCCAGGAAAGGTTGTGATTGACATGATAGATTATTCAAGAAAAATGATCTCAGAGTTTCCATGGACTTTGGGGCAATGAAGAAGTACCAAGTGCAGCTCCTCCTGACCTATTCAGCTCTGGTGATGGCACCATCCTGAATGACAAGAACAGAGAAACTATCATACCTTTGCAGCAAGCTGTTGTTCCTGTGCAACGTGCTCGACCAGATGTGCAGACTCTCACTACTGTGTTATGCACTCGTGTCAGAAGCCCATCATTGATGATTGGGACAAGTTGTTCAAGGCCTCAAGTTTTGGATCAGACGGCGCAGGACAAGTTGACCTACACATTGATACATACGCATCATCACTTGTGGTGGACGCATCATTTGCAGTCCATCCTGATATACCGTTCCCATACAGGAAGTCATTCCTTTGGAAGTGTGCGGTGCTGTCTGTGTCTGCGAAACAGAAATTGAATTCGAGGAGCAGCACGGAAGCGGAATTGATTGGAGCTGACGATGTATGTCGCCCATGTTGTGGCAAAGTTGTTCCTTGAAGAGCAGGGGATCGTGTGAAGGACAACATCCTATGCAGGACAACAAAAGCACGATCATTCTTGCAGAGAATGCAAAGGCAGTTCGGGCAAAAGAACTCGGCTATCAACATTCGTTTTTTTTTATTCATGACCATGGAAAAGGCAACCTTAGAGTTGTGTACTGCCCAACTTGGAGATGCGTGGAGATTTTTCACGAAGCCCCTTCAGGGCAAGCTCTTCCACGAGCACAGGGCTTTCATCATGGGCATCCACCCCTTGTTTGATTGCCTAAATTTTATTCGTTCCACGTGCCACTTAGGGACCGTGCAGGAGTGTGTTGGAGAAAAATACCTGACACCTCTATCTATTGATTCGTGTATTAATCATCTAGTCCGGTTCGCATGTAAATTGATCATGCAAGGAACCAAGGGAGTTTTAGGTCTAAAGTGTTGCGGGTCCTTATATCCAATTCAATCACAAGAATTGCTATGCACCACCAGAAAATCCTCACTTTTGCTTTTCAGCTTAATCAAAACCAAATTACTCCCAATAACTGCAGATACAGCAAATAACAAAGGGCGGTCGGTGTGACAGGATGGAGAACGAACAAGAGGGACCACCGTGCTCTTGGAGGGAGGAAAAGATACCCAGTTTGAAGAACAGGATGAGACAAGGGAACAGCGATATTCTGCCACGGAGCCATTGCCCAAAACTGTAGCTAATGAAATAGAAAAAAACAGCGATGCTGAGTGACAGAATATTTTCCCCGTAGATTGCTTCGGTACAAATGCCAAGAGGACATCAGGGACGTATCCGTAGGGCAAAAGCCTTCGCAAAAAAGCTGCTCAAAGAACTGCGGGGTGATGCTCTGCCCCTGCCACAAGGAAATAACAGGATAGAGGAAGGCAGTGAGACAAACCGAGGCGAAATCACTGTGCAAGAGATACCATCTGTGGCTAGTGCAAACCAGGAACGCAATGACCAACGCAATGGTGACAATGAACAGCAGACACCCAATGAGCCACCAAAGAAGAGAAAAAAACCATTCAAGCGGTCACAGCGATTCAGCACAAGGAAAAAGAAAATTCGAGACATATGGAAAGAGAAAATAGCCGGACTCCCAAGTCTCAAGGAGCTTGAGACAATAATCAACGATGAAGATGCCGCGATCCGGTACATGGCTGAAAAGGGAGCGATCAAGATCCCTACTGTATGTGGCAGGTGCAATTCAACCGTAAAGCCTGACTGGAAACGGCACCAATCAAGATGCCAGAAAGCACACTGCATCTGGAATCCACCAACCGTCTGCGAGATCTGTCCATGTGACGAAATGGAAGAGGTTCCAGTGAGCACGACCGACACCGGAAGACAGTGCACGAACTTAGAATGCAGATGGACTTGGAGTCCAGGAAAGCCGTGGAATTGCTCCTTCTTCAGAGGAAGCTTTCTCCATGACTGTAGACTGCCCAAAAACGAGATTCTGTTGCTCCTCTATCTTTGGCTGAACAACGCACCCCACAAGATGATACGGAGCCTACTTGGATGGGACGGTGAGACAGCTACCAGGTGGCTCAAGTGGTGCCGTAAAATGTCACAAGAAATTGTCATCTCCCAGCCACACCAGAACAACATGATTGGTGGACACAACATCATCGTGGAGATAGACGAATCGAAGTTTGCCAAACGAAAGTATCACAGGGGACGACGAGTCAAGGGAAGCTGGGTCCTCGGAATGGTTGAGAGAACACAGGAGAGACGAATGGTACTCCTCGTTGTATCTGACAGGACACGCAAGGCATTGGAACATGCAATAATGACCTTCGTGCATCCTGGTTCAACAATACACACGGACATGTGGAAAGGGTATATCAGCCTCGAGCGACTTGGATACACCCACAAGACGCTATGCCACAAATATGAGTTTGTGTCCGCGGAGGGAACCCATACGCAAACGATTGAAGGAAACTGGACGCCTCTTAAAAGAGCAATTCCAGTACAATGCAGGAGTGGAGTGGATCTTCAGGAGTACCTATTCCAGTTCATGTGGAGGAGGACGAATGAGGGAAACGAGTGGGAGGCACTGTGGGAGGGACTGTCAAGAGTACAGCTGACCATGCAGGAGCTTGAACGAATGGAGGTTGAACGTGAAAGGAACTGCGAGGACGACGACGAGGATTATGCGCCAATTGAGGATGCGGAGGAGGCCGAACAGCTTGAGGAAGAGGCAGACAACGACAACGAATACCAGGACTTTGTGGAGATGTTTGGAGACATGGATCTTACACCAGTGTCCGAAGGAGGACACATGGTGGAGGCAAGGAACGACACTACGGCAGAGAACGACGAGGAACGGCTACATGAAGACTTGGCCTATGAAGTTATTGGTGAGATGCTGGCAGGTGGAGAGATCGACCGATCAATCTTTTTTCACGATGGCCAGCAAAGAGCAAATATATAGAGTTTTGTGATGTCGGTGGTAAACGATTTACATAGTGTACGAGTCTTTAATTACTGTATCGAATTGCTCTAAGAAAACAACAAATTAGTGCTACTTAGAGGTATTGGCGGCAGGAGCGATAACCATCCATGTAAGTGAAATAACAGGGGGCCCAAATACGTGTAGACTTCAGTATCTTTTCAACGTAGTCCCGATTGGCGACATTTGCGAAGACAACATCACCAAAAACCAGCAACCATCCTTTAAACACCTTAGATGTCACATGGAGTTCACCGTTTTTATTCGCGGTCGTGGATCACCAAACAGCGATTATATCCTTTCAGCGACAATCGCTGATCGCTAGTGGATCCAACAAAAGAAAGCATCGTGTGGACCACTATTCGCACCAAACAAAGCTCGCCAACAAGATCTACAACACAGAGCCGACACACAAGGAGGGCTCAACCGAGCCATGCGTCTACGCTGTAATGAAGGGACAACGATGGCGGCCAGCCAAAAAACAAAGTTTCATGGTCGCATCGTGACAGAATGGTTGACATTTTTTGAGTCGTATTATCCAAGAAAGCGGTTCTCCAAGATGACCTTTTCCCCTCCATTGGTTCCCGTGAGACGCAAGCAACTTACAAAAAAGGAGGAACAATGATCACAACCCAGCGGGAGGGTCAATATTCTGCGAGGATGGCAGGAATTTTGAAAATTGTGGGATCGCGTGGTAAGTCTCTAAGTCTTTGGAATGGGACTAATTTTGAAGTTTACTCACGAGCCGTTTCTTTTGCTATCATGACGTCACAGGCTGGCTACCCGATGGTACCCGACCACTGCTCTACCAAAATTCAGAAGGCAGCCGAGCTGTCTCACACTCCGCTGCATTCTGCCAGAGCGGACGTCTCCACAGCTGGAAGAGCTGCTGGAAGTACCGGTACCGTGTAACCGACAGCACAAAAGCGACACAGATAGACTAGATGCCATCCTATCGGCACTGGTACCACTCTGGTACTAGCTAGTACTCTGGTACCACTCAGTAGCAACGTTTGGATAAGAGCCTTTCATTGGAGAAAGGCAACTGCCTCAACTGCGATGGCGCAACGCAAAAGGCAGAAGAAGAATTGGAAGCCTCCAGTATGTGTTTTGTATTAGAATAAATGATAAAACACTATGTACCTTTTGCTTTATTAAGAACGTGCCACCAGTCATTCGTTCATGCGTTCATGCGTTCATGCTTCCATACGGTGCTCTAGAACAGCGGCATCTCGTCACCAAATCAATCAGTTTTTGCTTGCCTTGTTCCTAAGGAGTGAAGTAGCGTGATATCTGATAACCAGTCCTTCCCATGAATGAATAGAAACTACACAAGCAACCAACACACTCCCTATCACAGCTTTCATCATCTTCTTGGTCATCAATCCAGTCAGCAAATGCTGCAACACTCGAGTAGACATCGGGTGCATACGCATCAGCGCATCCTCCAACGGCCCCGCTAACAACCCCAACAAGAATTCTTGGAAGCAAATCTGAAAGAAGGGGGCCACCAGAGTCTCCAAAGCAGGCTATCAGGGGATGAACAACACAAAGAGTTAGCTTTCATTTTGATGTACATGTAGCAATCCAAAGGTATGATGATGTGTTGTATTGTATTGTATTGTACTCACTTCCTGCTCTGACGCCATCGGCACAAACATGCAATCCTAGTGTAATGTCGTCTCCGTAGAATCTTTTGCACTCCGCCTCCGGCACAAAGCCGTAAAGAAGCTGCATTAGGTGCTCAGCAGCATATCCTGTGGTTGTGTTTCGTCCCATTCCTGCCACCAACAAAGGCTGACCCTCAAATGAAGGTTCGGAAAAGACTCTGTTCAATACCGGGAACTCAATGTCGTCGACTCGGTCCTTCTCATTGATCTTGAGGACGGCAATATCATACTGGAACTTGGGCCACACGTACAAGGGGTGCGACTTGGCACATCGCACTCTAACTTCTCGTCCGTCGGTTCGATTGGTGGCACCCACGCGGACAGTATCTGGATGTGACCCCTGAACACAACTGGCAGAGGTCAATACCCGTGTTGGGGATATAAGAGTGCCTGCACATTCACCATTGGCAAACAGAGTAAAAAATGGAAAGATTTCGGGGATGGCAGTTACAGCACCGACAAGGTCAAAGGTCGACGAGTCTTCCAATTCCTCTGGTTGCAGTTGTCGCTCCCTCAACTTGGTATCCGATGCAGCTGCAGCATAGGCAACCACGAATTGCCATAGGAGCAGCAATCTTCCTACCAACCGCCTATTCGATGAGCTACTCATGGTCAAAAGATGACAATGTCAGGTCGATTGCAAGGGCATGGGCGTTGGTTGCAGGTCTGATTTGATGATCATCCCACAGCAGCAGATTTTGGTCAACTTACTGTGTGAAGGAACAAGTACTAAGTGCCAAAATACTTAGACAAATGCTTTATACAAGCTGTACACCACATAATCTAAATGAAAGAAGTATGCCGGTTCTAAGTAACCATAACACGTATCGCTTATACGTAGCTAGAGTAGCCGTTTGGAACTTAGCCTTGGATCTGCTGCCACTGGCTAGTGCATTGCAGATCTTCAGGAGAAACAAAGAGGAACTGTGCTGCAGCTTTGGCCCTCGAAGACGACTTATTGGGAACAGAACGAGGGTCAACGTTTCGTGGATTCATCACGCTTCGTTATAGCAGCCACCACCTCAAGTTGTCTCCAACATCGTCCAGAGTCGAGAGGATCGAACGGTTTGACCCTCCAGCATCCCCAATTGTCATTAATTGGAAAGATAACGGAGGAGTCGAGGATCTGCAAAGAAGGAAGACACAACGACAAGCAGCGGCAGGATTTGCTACATCAACCCATGGTCAAAGGGTAGCAGCAGTCTGAGTCGAGTCGATAAATTTGTTCACCGATAAAAGAAAGACCATGGGAAACCAACCTACCACCATTTGCTGTGCCGACACCACAGGATGTCAACGCGTAGAGCTCGCGTCGACTTCTTCCTATGAGAATGGTCAAAACAGTACAAGAGGGAAACCGCGGCTACTGAGACGCGTGATCGACACCTTTCGTCCTTCTCCAAGAGCACAACCGACGTCAGGCTTCTTCAAGGGCAAATTTGCTTCATCGACCATGGCAATGGAAACTGTGGCAACTGGACATGGTACTGCACATACCAGACCAGCCAGCAACTTCAACCACAATACTCATAGCAACAACAAGCCGTACCAGCCACGGCATGATATGCACCGAGGAAACCAGGATATCTCATCATCACGGCAACCGCCACCCCACAGTCAGGTACGTTCCCTATCTTCCATGTCCACACAATCTGAAATTGGTGGAGAGAGATATGATAGGGAGGCCAGATCCGACATGCTGTCACGGCGGTCTAGTTATTGTAGCGCCCGGGAAGGAGTCGAAGAAGCGCGAGAGCAATTGGAGCCAGAAGGCGATCGCTTATCGAAGCCACCGAATGAATAAGTGTTTTGTATGTACCCACAGTCAGTGCCGTATGACCGCATATACTACCAAATGATACCAACAATGGCAAAAGGTCCGAGGTGACTCTTGACATGGATGGACGAATGGGCATACCAGTACCCTAGTATTGGAAAGGCATACTACTATGTACCCACTAAACTACTTTTTGGGTTGTACCGTAGCTGGACTGGACCACCATCTGTTGGTTGGTAGCAAGAAGCAGTGAAAACCTCACCATGCAGCAAGGCAGGATTTCTTTTCCTTTTTATCCTTTGTTCCAATGAAACGCACATCATCCTGTAATTATAACTATTTCATACACATCAAAATTTCTTTATCTTGTGCTACACTGCTGTGCAGTTGCCCACACAATTGCCATGCAGACACCAGTTGTTCTAGCTAGTACAGAACTGTAGGCTGATGAGCAAACAGGCGGACAGGTGTCCAGCAACAGGCTGCAATAGAGACCCTCACCACTCTGATGGGCAACCCGTTACGGTACTGGTACGGACGATCACAGTCGATCACTACTGGTACCGGACCGGACCGGACCGGACCGGACCGGCTGTTCCCTACCGAAAGGGTGCAAAGCTCCGCCCTTTGCCCGTTCAGGGGCCCGCATTGCATCTCAACCAATTCTGAAGAAATCAAATCATACAGTACCCACTCTCCGTCTAGCTAGCCGGCCTTTCCAAAGATGCAACATGATGAAGCTAGCTAGTAGCTGGTAGCTTTGCATGGTACCGCTGCCGGTACCAGTACTAGCTACTGTAGTACGGACTGGTACGATGTACTGGCAGGTACCAGGTACCGGTACCGGTACGACTGTAGCTTCATTCGTCTGAGACAGTGATCTGATGCCTCTGCCGGCTTATTTTCAGCAACACACATCCAAGCAATGAGCGCCGACCATGATAACGGAGGAGAAGACAGCTTTGGTCAATACAACAGTGGCCACCATGACAGGAGCGCCGTCGGGAAACACCAGTGAGTTCTTTGAAGATGACGATGAGGAGATCCTGCGTCTTCTCCTTGACTCTGAATCACGAGGAGACGACACATTTTCTCGCTTGAAGGGCCTTGGACAGCGCTTCATGGAGGATCATGGACACCTCTCGCATCAACCGCAATGGTCAGCTTGGACGAGCTCGGCCAATCAACTTCAATTTAGTTTTTCGGAAGCCGTCTCGAATCCATCTGGGTCGTCTTCTGAGTCTACGGGGCCCTATCCAGACGCCTTTGATTCCGAAGGTGGACAAAAGCATCTCAGGGCGACAACTTCGCTCCTGAACGTGTCCGAGCGACGGGCAGTCCAATTAACCATGAGCTCGCTGCGAGACGTCAAAGAGTCGAAAAATGTTCAGGCTTTATTGGGCACACGGGCCTTGCTGGAAAAGGTGATGGAGTATCATTATCGACAACGTACAGCAAGAATCGCCGTCATTTTGGAGCTGCTGCGGCTGGAACAAGCTGCTGATGGGGCACCTCCCAGCAAAGTTCTCGAAGTTCTCGATTTGCTGGACTCTTCTTATACCAACAACATGGAAAAGCGTGGACTACTTCGCTATTTTGTGTCAACCATCTGCCAAAATGCAGAAGGACAGAAACCAAGCCCACTGCAGCTACAACGGGCAAAAGAATTGAGTGCCGATGCACCTACGTCCTTGGACCAGTCATTGGGACGGCCTTTTGACCAAACTTCCCGGGATCTATGGCATCAATTCGTTGCCAAGTGCTTGAACTCAAATCAAAATCGAATCTATCAAGAGCGTCTTGGTGCCATGGAAGCCCTTGTTGCGCTCCTGTACTTTCGAATTGAAGGTGGTGTGCGGAGGGCTGACTACCTGATTCTGTTGCTGGCCTTCCAGTCTGCGGAGAAAATTTTTGCCGCAAGCCCTGAGAGTCGAAAACTTTCACAACTTGCTGCCATGGTTTGCGTCGAATGCTTGGGTCTCTGGAACGCCTTTGATGAAACCACAGAAAGTAACAATTGGGTTGCTGAACACCCGTTTCTCGAGGGTGTTGCACCAACCGCAACTGGTGGACAACATCCAGACTACAGGAGAGCAGAAACCGAAATGAGATCTCTGAGGTCGTTCCTCGAGAAACGTGCACTTCAAATTGGCATCAAGCAAGAAGCACCCGAGTCGTTGGCAATCTTGTCATTTGGACTGTTGCAACTTTTGACGTATGACGGCATTCTCAAGTCTTCTTGTGGTGCAGACATCAATGCTTTTTGGCACGTATTCCGTGAACAAGGACAAGCGTTCATCGAATTGTCCTCTGAGAAGCTTTCGGCCTTGGATTATCTCCAAGCATGCATGGAAAAACTGGTTTCCCCAAAGAAATACAGCGATGGCCGCCCAGCGAATCTTCCATACGATTGGCTATTTGTTTTGCGAGAAAAAACAAGTCCCATGGAGACAGGTTCCGGGGAACAGTTTGAATGGGACTTGGACGTCGAATCGATGACGTTCGCTTCTATCGGTCATGAACTTCTCAGCTCTCTGATTAGTGCGTTTGGGGATACAATTCTATCAGTGCAACACAGCGCAGCCTGTCAAAACTTGGCCCTGATATGCGAGCTGGCGTCTTGTATCTATCGAAATAGTCCTTCGCTGTGCCATTCCTTTTGGCAGCACGTCGCCTCGGAGGCACCAGAGTCCAATTTGTATCCTCTTTGTCGAGTGGTGGAATCATCCGCGACGTTGGCGCAGCACGCTTTCCGTGTGTACCGTGAGAAAAAGACCCTGAAAAATGAACAGATACTGGGGTCACTTGTACCGATTATGCAGCTGTTGGGAAGTCTGTGTTGCATTTCAAGCAACGTAGAAGCCATCTTTGAGATGGCCATTCCTGCCTCGTTGTTACAAAAGTCATTGCTCGCATGTGCACATGGGAACCAATTGGAGGACGTTGAATTCACAAGGAACAAGGCAAAGTTGTTGGACTCTCTCGAAACATTCAGCCGCGTGGGAAACTCTGCTTCCTGTCGTGCCATACTCAGAGGTGCTCTGGACAAAGACTTGCAACTTATGGACGTACCGGTACATGTATCAGGGCCGGGCTTTCTCGTGAAGGTACTCGAGTCATCCAATTTGAAGCACAGAAAATGTGTTCTGAACATTGCGGCTTGTCTGTTGAAAGAAGCTCCTGTCACATGGACACTTCGGTTATTCAAAGGGTTGCGAGACGCCAAGGTTGTGACCCCTGGAGATTTTGAAGAAGAAGAAACAATGCTTGCAGTCTCACTCGTGTACAACGAATTCGCGAGGTCTTTGATCGCGGTTGCGTTCTCGGAATCTGTCGGAGATACGGAAGCGATCGAGTTTTGGAGTTTTGTCTGGGAAGGAGTTGTCAAACTAGCTCCAATACTGTCGCTGTGTTTGTCGAACGTCACAAGGAAGCCCGTGAACTTGCGAACCGCTGCATCGATTATGGACTTTTTCTCGGTTATCCTTGAGTCAGTGGTTCCAACTCTTTTGCTCCACAAATCCGCAGCGCTGGGAGAGGTGGTTGTCGAAATGAGGGACGCTCTCCTGGAAATGCTTGCCTCGGGGATCGGTGAATCGGTCATGTTTTATGCTCTTTTGCCGCTGTCGTCAAGCATGGGCTATATGATTGAAGCCTACGCAGAAGAGCAAAATATTCTGCAGTACGCTGCTATGAAAGAAAACAACTCGACGGGTAAATACGGGCTATGGCACTCTGCGGCGACACGAAACTCTGTTCCCGCCAGTGAAACTTCAGAAACGGAACTACAGGTAAAGGAAATTGTACAACAAACTCCTATCCGCTTCAAAATCATCCCCGAAAAAACAGGCGTGACGATTGAAGCCGTTATGCTCGCTACAGGAAACGCGCTTAACCTGCTAAGATTGTGGGCAGTACATGTATCCCGACAAGATTGCGGCGCCGTTGTGCACCAACCTCGACTTGAAGACGCACAGAGAGACCGCCTATTGTCATTGAGCCCTCAAAAGCTACTGGGAATGCGCGCCAAATTGCCGCAACCTTTGCGATCGAAAAGCGACGTGAAGGTGCTCTGGGATGCTGTCAGTCCAACCAACATTCAGGTGAGCCGAAATAGCGTCAACCTGACCCCTCCGCTGCATTTATTCATTCCTCACATGTTTCTCTTCACGAAACTCACAGCTTCTCACTAGATACTTCGAAGCAAACATTGATGGCAGTATTCTAGAGACTGCTTTGGACTTCTTGCATGCGTGCGTGCTTCATGTGAAGATTGGCACTGGAGAAGTTCCTAGGGACATGGGTCTCTTCTCTATAATTCAAAAGTCCAAACTTCCAGAGCTCGTTGCTCCCTTGGCCGAGGCTTCGTTGGGGGACGCAATCGACGGCAACTCGAAAGAAAATATGGCGCTGTGTGTGTTGGCTTTTCGATTTCTTTCAATCACTCTCCCAGTCGCCAATGTCGAGAGCTTTGGAAAGACGCTGATGAAGAGCGCCTTCTCGGCAGTTGAAGCAACGTGCAAAGATCTCCACAAAGTCAGAGAGAGGAAGCCGCTAGATGGTTTCGAACATGTGGAAGTGTTGGACAAGCTACAGCTTTCAGTGGCTTGCCTCGGCTTTCTTCGCGCCATATGGATTGACGGAGACAGGCTTGAGTCAAAACTTGAACTGAGGAAGCAGTTTGATGACGAGAGCACAACATTCTTGTCTCTAGGTAAGTCCATGGTATTTGCGTCTCATGCTCTGCACGACGACAGCTTGCCGCTCACATGTCTATTTTCCTTTTTTTATCTCGCAGCCAAAGTGCTGATGCAGCACGCTCACACGAAGCAACCCCAAACAAACGACGGAGCCTCTGCCGGTGCTCGGGGTTGCTTGTTTGCTTTCTTGGCCACAGCTGTCGACTTCCTGTGTATCGTCACTGACTATGCTCTTAGCAGTGGAGACTCCAACTGCTCTCTTGTGCGTATGCTTCGAGAGAACGCTTACCAGGCAAGTGTAGATGCGTGCTATTTTCCCAACTTGGTACCGTTGCTCCGCCATCCTTACCCGTTTCATGTGATTTTAGATTATCGCCATGCCAAAATACTTCATGTCAGTTGATAGCTGCAGCGGTGTTGCGTCATCCACCTTAGCATTTGCAGCCTCCATCAAGCGAGAGATGAAAGACCTGTCCCGTCCCGACAGTCTACTGCAAGCGTTTCCGATCACGGCGTCGAACGAGTTTGCCGACGTCTTCTTCAACGTCGACGTCTCTGCATTCACATCTGCTGTTCGGCCATTGTCCATTGGATCTGCATCTTTTGAAGATCTCAAAAGAAACGTACTGGTTATGTCGTTGGCGCGGTTCTCATATTCCAGCCAGGCGATCTTGCTGCTGCACTGGAAGAGGTTTGCGACGTCGTTGATCCGAGTTTCAAAGAATGGCGCCACGCCTTCGGGCGCTGGCCAGAGAGCCGTAGACAACCCATATTTGAATAGGTAAGTGAAAGAAATGTTTCGCGCCCATACCACGCCATCGTGGTGACAGCCGTACCGATCGGTCGATGGGTACTAGTACGTAAGTAATATCACCCAGCTCCAGCTCATGTATCGCCTTTTCCTGGTTCCCAGCTCCATTGAAGCCATCGAGGTGCTAACAGCCAACGCCATTTTGATTGGAGAACATCAAGTTGCTTTGAACGGTCTGGATATTGGGGAAGTGGCAAAGTCAATGTCGAGCTTGGTTCTGGTGCTCGTTTACGAAGGCCTGGAATTCGCAACACCAGGGAACCCTGACCTCTTGATCTCGATTCTGGGACTAATTGGAAAATGCACCTCGAAGCTCTTCGACCTCCTGGAGTCTGACACCGACATGTGCTGTCGTGTTGTGGGGCAGCTTCTCGCCTCAGCAGTTGGAATCTTCGAGCAGTATGATTTGCCCTCAGCCAACGTGGCTGGCAGTATTGGCGAAGCTATTGGCGACCTATTGCTGATCACGAGCAAGCAGCTCAAGTTGCTTGAAGGCAGGCGGGGAACAGATCACGATTGCTTCAAAACGTGCATTGTTCTTTTGTCAGTGGTGACATCGTGGAGCTTGGACTGTCACTCTTCCTTCCCACTGGCGAAAATGTTGGAGGATCTCAGCACAATCAAGACATTGGTTAGGCTCGTCACGGCATATTCCTCACGGACAACAACCCCCCAGACCACTAAGCAAAGCGTGGATGAGTATATTGATATCCTTGAAGCGCACTTCGATCTGATCTTCACTGCACAAAACATCGATTTGATAGAAGTCTTCAATCGTGCGGGGGCGCTACATCTGCTGATTCGTAATCCAATCTTTTCGAACAAATTCAACGCAGCATCTTCGAGCTCTGATTTTAGAGGATACATCCCCACGCAGGAGAGATTCAACGTGAGGAGTTCAACCAGCTTTGTTGGGGGCATTGAAGATCCGTCCCACCTTCTGTGGCGAAAGGGCATTCGGTGCTGGAAGGCAATTCTTAGAACCACAAGGAAGGATTCAGCCATGAAGGAGCGCTATCAAGGCCTTGTTGCACACTTCCTACGTACGCACCAGAACTACATGATGAGCTGCTTGGAAACCATTACCGAAAAAGCATTGTCACGCAATATTCTGGAGGAAGCTACGCTCATACTGTCCCTTTTTGCAGAGCTATGCAGGCGACCGTGCAAGGATAGGTCAACCTTCTTGCTCATTTTGGAAAAGTTTGGGGGCAGCTTGTTGTTGATTGTTGCCCGATTGTCCGGATTCCTCGGTGCGTCTTCTTTGTCGAGGGAGTTTCTTGATGTGCTTTCGGATAACGACGAGGAGGCAGACGCTGCTGACTTGGGCATGAGACTATCCCCGTACAATCAAGTACACAACACTACTCATGAGGCGATTCGGTACTCGCACTTCGCCAACAAATTTCGCAGAGCGGTGACCAAAGAAGATTTTGAGAGTTCAATATCTCAGACTCAGGAGGACCTTCGATCTACAACAGACTTTCAGAAACATGCCAAAGCTCTCAACAACTGTGAATTTTCCAGCTTCATCGAAGTTGCAGCAGCAGAATGCTTGTTCTCGGCTGTTTCATTGCTGTGGGAAACGCATCCTGTCAACGAATCCTTTGTCTTGTACTCCCAAGCACAGGCGTCAAGGATTGATGTTATGGCACTTGTCAATCCGGATATTGGACAAGTCGTTGCCTACACGTCGGACGCCTATTCTTCGCCGTGTTTTGGGGAGATCAAATTCAAAGATACCGTTGATAAGATGCTCTTTGTGAAAGATTTGGTCTCGGGTAAGAACGAAGCGGTTCCTTCTTGTCATGTAGTGGGTGTTGAAGATGTCAATAAGAGACGCGCAATCCTGCGATACGTCCCTGCCCCGGACTCGGCTTCGGACTTGGAGGCAAGTCAGGGGTCCTCTGCAACTGTGGGTCATCTTGTTCTGGCGCTTCGTTGGTGTGCTGGCCCCCCTTCGAACTCCAATCCAGTTGTGAAAAGGCTCGCTTCCTTGCTCTCGCTCGTGCTTGGATGTGAGCTAAAAGTTCATGCTCTCATTTCGAGTCCGGCTTCGAAACCGGAAAAAGAGGTGCAACGGCTCCAAAAGCAGCTGCTTGACCTGTTTGGCGATGTGCCAGAGATTGCTGCAGGCCATGGTCGTTTGAAGCATGTCCTAAGTGAGCTCTCTTGGGTAAAAATTCGTCAACAACTTGCAGCAGATTTGGAGAGTGGAGCCGAAACACAAAGAGACGCCATGAGCAATAACGATGCAATGGCGATTGAGGATGGATACTCCAGCAGCCGAAGCAATCCATTTCAGGGTCTGGCTATGGAATACTAGCTAGCTAGTCTAGGGGGCCAATTAATAGATAGCTGATTTCAAATGTTACCGTTGTCGCAACACTAGTAGACAAACGCATTTGCCGGCAAGACCGCCTTATTCTTACATGTATTCCAAGGAAACCACAAGCCCACCTGTACCGTACGGTACCTGGTACCTACCTTGGCCAGACTAAAACCTTTTCAACCCAACATTTTACAGTGAACACCTCTCAAGAGACCGCATGAAGCCAATGGGGAAACTTCACACGGGGACGGTTTGCACATGTTGAAGGACAAAAAGAAGTGCATAGAGTAATTGAGATCACGGTTTTACATTTTTAGAGAGCGTCTGAAGGGGTAATGGTGAGTGGAAGAAATTTTTGTCGGGTACTACCAGGTAGCTAGCTAGCTACTGTAGGAACCGTCAAGACACCCACCAGTCTCCCACGATTTCGAAGACCAAAAGCAACGAAGTCAAGAGATCTTGCTAGATTTAAAAGGGGTTTGCATATGGGTCGTCAGCTCCTCCAGCAGTAGGTGTCGGAATCTCTATCCCACCCGCTCCACCACCACCCATCACATTTGGGTTAAATCCTCCGGGAGGTGAATTGAATCCCTGAGGAGCACCCAAAGGCTGCCCATATGGTTGTCCCAATGGTGGTTGTCCATAGCTTTGTGGAGCCGGTGGTGGTTGTTGTCCGTACCCTTGAGGAGTCGGTGGCTGTTGTTGTCCGTAACCTTGTGGAGGCGGTGGCTGCTGTTGCCCGTAAGCTTGTGGAGCCGGTGGCGGCTGTTGTCCAAAATTTTGCGGAGGACCTCCATAACCATAGCCCTGTCCCTGCTGTGGATATCCACCATTCGCAGCTGCCTGCTTGGGCGCTTGCTGAGGAGCCGGTGTTTTTTCCGGAGGGGGCTGTTTCTGTTGCATTGATGCAGCGGCCGCGGCATCTAATTCTGCCTGCTCGGCCATTTTTCTAACCTTTTCTGCCTCACGCTTCGTTTCCATGGCTACTGCTTGTGCATCATTGGCAGCCGACTGAGCCGCAAGGAACTTCTTTTTCTTTGCTTCAGCGTCGGTTTTCGCCTGAGACGCCTCTTTCTGCAACCAATCGTTTTGTTTATTAACATGCTGTTAGACACCACACAGGCGGTATGGAAACAACATTCCCGTGCAACCTTGCTTACCATTGACTTCTTTTTCTTTCCACCACCCAACATTCCGCTCTTCTTTTCCGATGCTTCCGCCGCTTTTTGCCTGGCCTCCACCTCCGCTTTGTCGGCAGCCCGCCTGAGTCTGTCTGCTTCATCCATCATTGCCCTGAGTGTGTCTTCCGAGTCTCGTGCTAGATCCTCTGCCTCCTTGGCTCTGCTCTTGAGTTCGTTAATTTCATCCATCGAAGGAGCAGGTTGTATGAAGCCGTCGCTGCTATCATCATCATCAGCGGTGTTTCCTGGCGGAGGAGGCTGCCCAAATTGATTTTCTGGTCCAGGACCTCCACCCATCACCTCAAAGCTGATTTGCGAACTGATCGAACTTTGTCGATTGTGTGGGGAGATCGGAGACGGAGTGGGATTGCCCGAGAAGGGTTGTTCATAGGAAATTCCCTGGTAGGGATTTCCTTGTGGGGGTGGCTGCTGCTGCGCGTTCTGACCGAATTGGTTGTACTGAGGATTGCCCATTGCATCGGGTGCTGGCATCATACCTGGTTGCGGAGGTCCCTGCCCCATCATGTTTGGTGGAGCCCCCTGACCTTGCATCATGTTTGGTGGCGGCGCGCCTTGGCCTGGCTCGTTACTGCGAAAAACTGATTCGGGCTGCCCTTGAGCTCCTTGATCACCCGCGTCTTCGTCGTCACCTTGACCTGGTGCCGACGAGTCGTCTGATGATACAGTTTCAATTTGATGCCGCGCTCCTGCTGCTGGAGCAGGAGCTGCAACTGAAAAGGGAACGGGGGCTGCAGCCTGTTGACCGTAGGGGTTCGGTTGCGCATTTGCGTCAAAAGACGGCCCCGGTGCCATGGCAGGAGGAGCCGGTGCAGGTGCTGCGCCAAACCCGAAGAGGTCGCCCTCAAATGCAGGAGCAGGTGCCGGTTGCGGAGGTGCTGCATGTGCCGCTTGGATTGACGCTTGAATGCCCTGGTGCGCCGTATCAATCGCTTCCTTGGTCGCCTCTGCCTCGCCAATCAGATCATTTAGAACCCTAGACAACAAGACGAGAACGCATTAGAAAACAAACTTTGGACACTCTTGAAAAGTGATGAGATCCTGTTGACGTACCCTTTCTTTTCTTGCGCGGCCTTTAGTTCGGCTGTTGATTCCAGCAAACGAGTTTTCGACGCCAACACCTGCGCTCGCAACGTAGTCAGTTTGTTGGAGAGAACTCCGATTTCGGCAACAGTGGCATTGATGTGCCGCTGAACATCCTTCTCTTCTTCCGTCATGGTCCCAAGTTGGGCCTTCAAAGCGATGTTCTCTGCTTGAAGCTTTTGCAGCACCGTTTTGAGCTTGTCTAGTTCTCCAGTATTGTCGGACATGTTGTAGGACTGAGCCAAGACCTCGGATGTTTTCGGTGCCGGCTCTGGCGCGGGTGCCGACATGGTCATTGGTGGAGGCTCGTGCATTTGTGGAGGCGATGCCATGGCCGGCGACGGGGTCGGTCCCAGCTGGGGAGAAGGCTGCTCCATCGAGGAGAAAGCGGTTGCAGATGTTCCACCATAGGACGGCTCATTCCCTGCCCCTGATCCGAAACCACCTCCGCCGCCTCCAAGCGAACCAAATCCAGTAGCCGGTGGGGGCAGACTGCTAATATCCGACGTAGTACTCAGCCCCTCGAACGCATCCGAAATGTCCAAACCACCAGGTTTGGCGATGGGTGGTGGGCCTGCCATTCCCGACGGATTCATGCCTCCTTGCATGCCGCCATCAGAGGGATCCGGGATGGACGGTTGCTGTGAATTGTATGCCGGAGCAGCAGGTGGATATTGCTGTCCATGAGGCTGCTGCTGCTGCTGGGCAGGGGGCAGCTGGGCCTGTGGCTGCATTTCTTCCTCTGGAGGTGGAGCTTGTTGCTGCTGCTGTTGTTGCTGCTGCTGTTTCAAAGCCTTGAGGGACATGGGTAAAATTTTGGGCAATGGTAGATTCTTTTTGGAGACGCATACAATGAGATGCATGGCAATGGCGAACTCTAGTTTGTCCAACCTGTTGTCGACCGGCTGATCCGCCAAATTCCAAATATCTCGAAGGTGCGTTTGTCCTAACCCTGATTTGGAGAAGAGTGCCACGGCCTCTTTTCCGTGCATAAATCCGTCTTCCTTGGCATACTGTGGAAACAACGTTTCGTAGCGTGACCGTTCATTGGGGGTGAGAGTGTAAGGGTCTTGCACTGTCAAGGCTGTGCTTGGCCCAGCATGAGGGGAAGGTGGCACCATGGGTGGTCTTCCAGCATTCATACTAGCAGGTGTCTGTTGTGGGGGTCGTTGCGGTGGTGACGAGGGCGACGGGGGTTGCTGCTGCTGCTGTTGTTGCTGAGGTGATGGGGCCATGCGTTGACCGGGTGGCATTCCCTGCTGAGGAGGGGGTTGACCGCCTCCAGGACCGCCAGGAGGTCTCTGATGTTGAGGTGGAGGCTGCTGCTGTTGTTGTTGCTGCTGAGGAGGAGGGGGTTGTTGCTGTTGCGGTGGTGGCTGGTTTGGCATTGGCACGACGGTTCCACTGATGCCTTCCAGGTAGACCGGCCTCAAGACAGTGCCAGGAGGGACCGACAAATTAGTGCCTTGTCCCTTCACGCCATTTTGTAGGAGCTGGATGAGACGAACGGCTACTGCGAATTTGGGTCGATTCAACGAGTTGGATGGCGGATTGTCAGCGACAGTCCACACATTTTTGAGTTGTTCCATTGGCAGTTTGGATCGAGAGAAAAATGCTACAGCCTCCCCTCCTGCAATCGATCCAGTTCTGTTCGTGTCGGCAGCTTGAAATAGACCATCATAGTATGGCTGTAGTCGGTTGTTTGTATTGTACAATCAGGGGCAAACCACAGAAAGAGTGTTAGTAAGGGCACTAGCTAGGCTACCTAGTAGCGACGAGAGAGAGAGCGAAACGGGACGATCACGGACAGTGGGAGAGCACTTTGAAATTTGATATTTCGGTTTGCGTAGCTTTCACGTAGATTCAGTACTGGACATAACGGATACGCCACCAGCCGATGCTCGACACGAGATGGCTGATGAGTTGGAAAGGAGAGCCGAGAACTTACCCTTTCGTGAATTTCAGGGGTGTAGAAGAGAGCCCCACCTCCAGGAGCCGCCATGGTGCTGCTGTTGGTATTGAGATGAAGTACTATTACTAGCGCTCCGTCGGTATGTATACTTTCTTTGTTGCCAATGACCGCTGATCTCCTGCTTCTGGTTGGATCTTCGATCTTTGCCGTTGGCTCCAAAGCAGCGGGGGGAAAACCAAAGATCTATCGTACTGGTCCATTTTGAAACCTGTAATTAGCATTTATGCTGGCTTAAATCAAAGTGTCGTCAGTCCAAAGTGCCACCATGCGACTGAAACCATTCATCATCCATGCATCCCCCACATCAATCGCGACATCACATTCTCATGGCTACGGGTATCGCTGCAGGGTTGGATATAACTCAGATCTACATTATATCTCAGTGAAATGGAAAAAAGACTGCAAGCATGAGAAACCTGCTCCTACTTTTTAAGTTATGCCTATTGGCTGCTTCATGGAAAAGCTCAGAGGCTTTCCTCGGACCACAGAATGGTCGAAGGACAAAAGATCTGGGGAGAATCTTTTGGGATTCTTCCAAAGATAATAATATTATCAATGGAATCCATGCGCCTCTCAAGATGTCGTCTTCGTCAAATAATGGTTCAGATTTCCAGCTACCAAATCGATCCAAAAAGACCCAGAACAAAGACACGGTGATTGTGGGGGCCGGTCTAGCGGGACTCTCCATAGCGCTGTATCTTTCCCAGTTGGATCCGGATCGACAAATTACCATTCTGGATCGAGAAGAGCATGACATTGAAGCAAAGAAACGAACAACAATCAGTAGCTTTGCGGCAGCTGGAATGCTGGCTCCTCAATCGGAACGCTTGCCCAAGGGACACTTGCTGGATTTGTGTCTGGCCAGTCGGCGCATGTATCCTGAATTTTGCGATCTCGTGGAATCCTTGGCACAAGAATCAGGCCAAGAAGGGGCCAAGTTTTTAATGCCGCAACAACAGTCTTCTCAGGAACCACCATGGAGTGTGGGGTACATGGCATCCGGTGGATTTCTAGCACCGGCATTTGCAGGAGATACCGTCGCCACCTGGGCTCCTCCCGAGGATGGTGGAACTGCTACCTGGCTCGACGAAATACAAGTCCGAGAGCTGGAACCCAATTTGCATCCCGAGGTCGTTGGAGGATGGTGGTTCCCAGAGGATGCCAGTGTGGATGCGAGGCGTCTGACCTGCAGTTTGTACGCTGCTTGCATTGCCGCGGGTGTCCAGTTTCTGTGTGGCAAGGGATATGAAGTGACATCCGTGGACCTAAACGATGGAACATGTCATGGACTATGGCTTCAAAATGGAAAATATTTCAAAACCAAATCAGTGCTAGTGGCCAATGGTGCCTGGATGAGGAATCTGCTGCCAGTGCCCATTGAGCCTCACAAAGGACAGTCTCTAGCGCTTAAAATGCCAGCCGATCGACCACCAATCCTGCGACGAGTACTCTTTGCTCAAGACTCCTACATTGTTCCAAAGGCTGATGGAAACATTGTCATTGGTGCCACCGTGGAGGCGGGTAGCTTTGATGGAAACGTAACGCCAGCAGGTCTTCTACATATCCTTACGCATGCGCTAGAGTTGGTGCCAGGATTGAAAGATCTACCTGTGGTAGAAACCTGGGCTGGATTACGACCCACAACACCCGACAAAGGGCCCATAATAGGCAAGTCGCCATGGAAGAACCTCTTCCTGGCTGGGGGGTACTGGAGAAATGGAGTCTTGCTTGCACCCAAAACAGCACAGCTCTTGGCTTGTCTCATGACTGACACTGCAATGTCAGCTGATGACGAGGCGTTGCTGGGGGCTTTTTCGTGGGATCGTTTCACTGCCAAAGGAGGTGGGGCTACAATGGCCGCAAACGCAAGGTATGCTGCGTCCATGCATCCTATTCATTCTCGAGTATCGGGGGCAGGAGTTGCGGCAGCGGTGGGAACCGAGCTCGGGTCGTACTCAACGGCCAAGGCTGCCAAAGATGAGCGACAAAAGGACAGAAAGGCCTTGTGGGAAAGTGACAGCGATGATGCCTTTGAGCGTGCTGCGGCACTTGGCCAAAGAGATGCTTTGAGTTTTTCAATGGACAACGAAAAGAAAGACGCGCCTCCGAGCAAACCGAAACCGCCATCACCTGTTTTCTTCCCAGAGCCAACAACAGAAGAGAAAGCAAGTAATGCTCGTCAGGAAACAGCCCAAAACGACCTGGCGTCAATCTACGATTCTATCAAGGAAAACAAAGCCAAACAAGTCGTGTCGCTACCAGATACTGGTGGTGTTGACACCAGACCTGATCCGGGCTTTCGAATCTATCATGTTGATGACGAAACAGGAGAGTCGCGTGAGGTTCCTCCTTATACAAAACCAGTTGATTTCTTACAAAGCATTAGCAAAGATACAACGTCAACAACCGCAAGCGACTCTGTCCCGGAGAAGATATCAAAAAGTTCCGACAAAAACGCCAACAAGGCTACTCCGTCATCCAAATCTGACAAATCATCGTACAACGAGAAAACTTACGATGGGTATCAAGACATCCTGGTAGCAAACGCCGGGAAATCCCGCGAGGAAGAATTGCAATCAATGCGGCAAGCCCGCTTCAAGAACCGGCTAGACCAGGAGTCAATTGACGCTTCTAAGATTGGCACAATAACGGATGAATTCAAAGAGTTCGAGGAAAGCGAAGAACCTGCTTCTAGCCAAACTGACCTTTCATCTGCCTACCAGGCTATCCTGGACAACAAGTCAAAGCAGAAAGTTGAGCTACCGGATACCAGTGACGTCGAGCAGAGGCCTGATCCCGGATTTCGCATCTTCCATGTAGACTCTGAGACTGGAGAATCTAGAGAGGTCCCACCATACACAAAGCCTGTTGATTTCTTGCTCTCATTGGCAGAAGAAAAGGCACCAAATGCAACAGTTACAGAGGCAACGATATCATCAGAAGGCATCGACGGTGTCTCAAAGCTTGAAAATGACGAACACCTCAATGGTTTGAGCAAGATCAATGGTGATCACTCGGGAAAAGCAGCAAACGAGGAATACAGTGAGAAAACGTACGTGGAGAAAGGCCGCGTTGGAAGTCGAAACGCTACAACCCTGTATTCTGTTGCTCTGGCTCTGACCGTTGTCTTCTTCCCATCTCTCGAATCCACTGCTTCAGTTTTGATGGCTATCAAGACATTATAGAAGCCAACTCTGCCAACACCCGCGAAGAGGAGTTGGAAGCCATGCGTCGAGCTCGACAAAGTAATCGTTTGGGCCAGTCCGGCATTGACGACAGCAAACTCTAAAAGGCCCAAGACCCCAGGAGTCGGTCATGACTTGCTAGTAGAACTTAATAGCGCTAACATTTGTACACATTTGCCGATAGAAGGAACCCCAAAAGTTACCAAGCCAATAGTACATGTAGTTTAGCTGCTTCATTAATGATCAGGGAAACCCTCTATTGGCGCTCAGTAGGGAGTGGAAATCATCACCGTTTTCATCCGCCATATGATCCATTGTTTCGAGCTCGACGACGCGCCCACCCATTTTGTGGATCAACGCTTCTATTTGTTTCATGATTTGAGTCAATGACGGCCTCTGATGCCGATCCTGCACCAACATTTGTTCAATGAGCAGAAGTATGTCGTGGGAATACCACGACGCTGCACAACACTTGGGCGGCAGCTTGGGAAGGCCGCCAAGGACTTTGAGTTGCGTACAATCGACGATTCTTATTCTCCCGTTTGTTCTGGAAAATTCGCTTTCACCAGGAGACGCTCCAAAGAGGACGGCAAAGAACGTGCAGCCCAATGACCACATGTCCACACTGGCAAAATCAACGGGTGGGTCTCCCGCTCGGACACCACCCTCAAAGAGTTCCGGTGGCCGGTAGGGCATTGTCGTGTGCTGGGATGCCCGATCCACGATATTTAAAGCTTGTCGCCTGGTATTGACTTCTTCTCGAATAGGTCCCACAGAGCCAAAATCCATGAGGACCGGAGTTCGAATTGAATTTGCGTGTTCAAACATAATGTTTTCGACTTTGACATCTCGATGTGAGTAATGGGCATTGTGCAGAGCTTGCAGTCCTCTCGCAATTTCCAAGAATAAATTCAGCACATCCACTTCATTCCAGGGGGCCCTGGATACGTTGTAGATATCCCCAGGAGCTTCTAGAATTCGATGATTGATCTCAGCCCGCAATGACCGATTCATTCTAGGAAACAGCATGTAGGCAATATCATCGACGACAGTGAATCCCAGGAGTGGTAAAATATTGGGGTGTCCCATGGTAGCTCTGTGAACTGCAGCCTCTTCGCGGCATTCTTGCAGCATGTTCGGTTCCGGACAACGGATCTGTTTGAGTGCATATAGCTGTTGGTTGCTGCCGGCTGTGGACTCATCCTCAGTGGCTTCAAAGACATAACTGAATCCTCCCTCAGCAATTTGTTTTCCAATGCGGACACGTCTTCCTGTATCCATTGTGATGGCGGGCCCCGAAGCAGCATTGTTCATAAAAGACTGAGCCCAAGAAAAGATCCACTGGACCAATCGCTTGATAACATCACAGATCTGCTCAAAGAGTGATGGCAAGGATCCGCCGAGAGCGGAGCGCGCAGAGTTCATGTCGATTGTTGCTTCTTGATGGTGATGAGCAAGTGTAGTCGATCCAAAATGAGTATTAGTAGTATGTCGTCTCTTGATTGCGGCAAAAGCCATTGCTGGGTGAAATTTGCGAGCCAAAGTCCGTTGCTTTTTCGTCTTGCAAGAATGACGAGTTGAGTCGAGTCGAGTGAGTCGATTGAATCAATCGTTCGTTTCCTTGGTTCGACGATTGACGCTTTGACTAGCTAGCCACAAGGCTCTTATTTTCACGCTTAAGCGTAGAGTAGCATTATTATTGCTACCGTATTCATGTCATTGGCTTTTGGCTTTGTCCCTTCTCATCATAATTTTCCCTCCAACTCCTGTCTTCTTTCGATCGAGCAGCACTCTTTGTTCACATCAGTGTCGGACTACTACCGGTACAACGTGGCTAAGAGTACTAGTATATTATATTACCATGACGGACCCTCTCCCCTTGGGACAAAAGCTGTTCCTTCAGAAACTCGCCGCGGTTCACACAATGACGGACGAAACCGCGCAAGAGTTTCTAGATCAATTTGATCCAGACGACATGCAGTGTGATTGCGTGGACGACTGTCTAACCAGCATCAACAAACAATTGACAGTTGGGTTTGGTATGGAGATTGTGACCATGGTGGACAAGGATGGAAATAAGTTCCATGCTCTCATTAACCAACATGCCGATCAAGTGGCCAAGGAGAGTTTTGGCAGTACCTACGACGCCGACACGCGCTACTTTGTTCGACAGGTCTTGGAGAGTCTGGTGGAAGGACCTTCGGTGCGATCGACGCTGATCAACTTGCGAACAAAGTTGCAGCCTCCTCTCAAGCTAGATATTGACAAGGCGGATCAGTGCATTGAAAATCTTTTGGACGAACATTGGTTGCAACGCGATGATGGCGACAATAAGAGACGACGTGACTCCATGAATGCCAAAATTGAGTTGGGACCAAGGGCCTTTCTGGAGTTGTCGGTCTTGTTGATGGACATGGGATTTCCTCAGGATGATTTGCCGCAGTTTTTATTTCACCGATAAAGTCACAGCAACCAACAGAAGTTCAACTGCATTAGTGAGAAGGACCAAGTGGCTTCAAATGGCCTGGAATTATTGGTGGGATTTGGTTTCAGTTTATTTTATTTGTTTCAGAGGCTGCTCCAATACAACTTGATGCATCGGCGTGTAGATGTATTTCTCTGTGGCTAACATATTTTTCAAAAAGCATCTTCTATTTTCTATTCTGTCCATAATTCCTATGGCCTCTGGCAGGAGCCACAGCATTCTCGACCCCAGCGCGAGTAGACTCGTACCACCAGAAGAATCAATTCTATATCTCTATTAATTTTAGCAGGTTTACTTGTTCATGCTTCTACGTCTCCTCCTCCTTGTTCCTTTTGTTGGCTGAATGCTCTCTTCCTCAACTCGGCTGACATGGAATCGCCAGTGTCATTCACCATGCTAGCAAAAGCACCGCCATCAGTGAGTAACTTCGCAGGGGAGCCCCACTCAAGCACTCTACCATGGCCCAAGACCAAAACAATGTCGTAGTCAATGATTGTCTCCAAGCGGTGCGCAACAGCAATAATAGTACCCTCTTTAAATGATTCTTGGAGCGCGTCCTGCAGCATTTCATCAGTGCGACGGTCGACACTGGCCGTTGCTTCATCCAAGACAAGAATTCTGTTGTTGCTGAGGATGGCTCGTGCCAGACACAGTAACTGTCTTTGGCCAACTGAAAAATTGCTTCCGCCTTCCGACACAATCGAATCCCAGCCCTTGGGCAGGGCCGCAACCACATCGCCCAAGTGGGCATCGTCCAGTGCACTCTGGATTTCTGCATCCGAATGACATCCGAACAGATCCAAGTTCTCACGAACGGTACAGCCGCTAAAGAGGGTGGGCACTTGAGGGATAACTGATATCTTGGTTCGCAGGGCATGCAGACCTAGCTTGGATACATCCACGCCATCAATAGAAAGAGTCCCTTCCTCAGCTTCCAGCAACCGAAAGAGAGTCTGCACAACCGTGGATTTACCAGACCCTGTTCTTCCCACCACACCAACGCGAGCACCACCCGGAATTTCGAAGCTTATTTGATTCAAAGCCAGAGGTAAGGAGGGTCTGTAGCGAGCAGCCAACCCGTCGCACTTCACGGCACCAGTGGAGGGCCACCCTTTCCCTGTAAGTTCCTCGTCCCCGTCCAATTCGAGTGGGGCCTCAGACTCCAGGTCGCCGAATTCCAGCACACGTTCCACTGCAACCATTTGGTTGACCACTTCTGCGCTCTGTCGGATGCACCATTGAAAGAGGCCCGCTAGCTGCAGCAGCATGGACAACGACAGCCCCAGAATGGCCGGATCAACATCAAACCATCCTTCCTGTTGAAACAGGACTGACAAGTACGCCACAAGTGTCAAGAACAGGAACATAATTGCGTCCATACGAAATCCAACCCAGCGCGAAGCAGCAATGAATGCGTAAAAGGCGCGCGTATGAGCATCGTGTGCCTCTTCAAACTTCTTGCGGAAGTATCCAAGGGACTGGTTGGATCGAATCGTTGCGATTCCTCCAAGGGATTCTCCAAGCATTGCAAAGATCGGAGATCGGGCAAGGCTCTCAAGTCTCTTCAACTCTCTAGTGCTTGTAACGAAAGTCTTGCGAACAGACAAAAAGTACCAAACCAAAGGAGGAAACGCCAGCAGAGTGAATGGAAGTACCGTGACCGTCGTCGCCACTGCGCCCAACACAATGAAGGCAATGACGCAAAAGTCGAACAGAGTCTGGGGGAGCAGATCATCGTTCGAGCCGACGTCCGCTGATACCCTGTTTAGGATGCGGCCCATGGGGTTTGTGTCGAAGAACTCAATCTTGGCTCGCAGCAATGACTTTGCCATTCGGTCGTGCAGTCTCTGCGACGCTTTCACTGTGAGTTCCAAGCTTAGCATTGCTCGAGATACTGCCAGAATAACAACGGCAGACGAAAGTCCAATTACTAGCCCCAAGATGGCCCAAGAGTTCTGCGGTGAAAAACCGCGATAAGACAAAAAAGACGAGAAATGCGTGAGAACAAACAGTCTCCAATCCGAATAACCAAGAGACCAGAACAAGAAGACGCACCTGCTGATCCGCGGGTCTTTCAGCCCACCTTCCAACGGTGCCAATTGTCACAAGCACGGAAGCTTGAGTGATTGAAAACAAAGCGAGCATCGCTGCACCCACCCAGAGTCCACCCATGGCTCTTAGGTAGTTGGCATATGTCTCCAGCTTGACTAGGCCACTTTGCTTAATTTCTTTGCCCTCGATGTCTCCATTCGCATCATCCAATAAGTTGGACTCTGCCGCAACGTGTTCTTCTTCCTTTGCCACACCTGGGGGCATCGTAGATTTGTCGTCGCCGCCGTCGAGGTTATCGACGGCGCTGTCATCCTTCGCGTGTGCACTTAACTTGCCACCGGAAGCAGCTACGCATTCTTCGTAGCTCCCGATGTGGGCAACTCTTCCTGCGACGATCAGTACACATCTGTGGTCCCCGATGTGCTGATGTTGATGTGTTGCGAGGACGGTACACTTGCCTCTATTCACTGATAGGTTCATGATCGCTTCTTGGAACAGCTGTCTTCCAACCTTGGAATCGACAGCCGACAAAGGATCATCAGCAACCAGAATGTCTGCGTCTTTGTACAGCGCTCGGGCTAACCCAATTCTGGCTCGCTGCCCCCCGCTGATCTGCACTCCCCGGTCGCCAACAACAGTTTCATCTCCGTCGCGAAGCTGCTTGAAATCGACGTTGAGACTACACGAGTTCACGACTCTGTCGTACCATTCAGCGTCGAAGTCCTTGCCCATCATAATGTTCTCTTTCACGGTGCCATCCATGATCCAAGGATCTTGCGCAGCATAAGCCAGTGAGCTATAGTTTCGCCCGATTACCCCAGATTTCACCGGGAGCTCACCAACGAGTGCTTGAAGCATGGCACTCTTGCCACTTCCTACCGCACCCACAAGGCAAGTGAGCTGACCTCTGTTGAAGTCCAACGAAACATCCGTGAGGGCTGGCATATCCTCGGTGCTACCCACTGTTGACTGATCGCTTTTGGCTTGCACCGTTTCGACGTCATTCCAATTACAGTTGACGCTTTTCAATGACAGGCAACAGTCCCCATGCTGCTTCGAATTTGAACTAGCTCGTTCGATTGTTTGAGAGGTAGCGTACGGAAGCTCGGGAAATTCGAGAAAGTTCTGGATTCGTTTGAGTGAAACAAATGCTTCACTGACTCCCTGTTACAGCAACAATACATGGATTGAGACAACGGACTCCTGCCGAGCAACATCCAGTTCTTAAACGGGATTTAACCCACCATTACTCCAAGGGAAAGATGCTTGGTCATTTCAATTTGGATGATGTTTACCAGAGTAAAGGTAGTGAAGACATCTCTTGGCGTTAACGTCTCTCCGCTAGCCACATGGACTAGGAAGATGACCACGGAAATGACGACGTTTGCGCAAAAGAACAGCGCTTCGTTCCACGCCTTCAACCTTTGGAAGTTGCAGGAAGCAAGGTGAGGATGGCCTACGGGCATGGCATGCTTGAGATCGTACATGTAGTTCGACTTACCTATTTGCTCGCACAATTTGGTCGACCTCTTTGGCTCGGTAGTCTTGGATTCTATCCAGAAAACGCCATTCAAAACCAGACATCTTCATCACCCTGGCACCGTAGACGGCCTGAGAGACAAAATTCACCCTTGTATCCGTGATGGCGGCGATTCTCCCTCGGAAGTGTACGAATCTCCTACTCAGGTACATTTGCAATGGAATAAATCCCACAACCAAAAGAGCAACGCCAGCTGCAAATGCAGGACCCAGCAGAACCCAACCAACACACAAAATGGCAATGCACTGCAGTGGTGCCCATATCAGGTGACTGCAAAACAGAGCTGCTAGCATGAAGCGCTCAACATCATTACTGGCCAGGTTCATGATTTGGCCATAGTTCGCTGATGTGTCCTGATGCGTGGATGAAAGTCGTTGCGATTTGTAGTATATGGAGGCGATGGCAGCTATCCGCAACCTCATTCCTTTTCTCCATGTGAAGAAGAACGAGTGATGGTGCTCTGCTAGCAGCGCCAGGGACCCCATAACAATCACGGTTGCCCACAGATAACCTTGGCCATTGTCATCTTCAAAGGCCTCGATCAATAGACCCAGTGCCACAGCTTGTGAAACCTTGGCGACTGCTGCCAACATGTACATTGGTTGAACATACCACATGCTCTTGACAAAGTCTTTGAGAATGGCTCGGTCTAACCTGGGATTGTTGGGGTTCTGTCGCTTTTCTTCTTCCCATAGCTTCTCAAAATATATGCGATTGGCAGCCGATGTGTCTGCCTCGGATATCTCTGGAAGGTCGCTCTCTTCCAGTGCTCTTTTCATTCCCAGCTTCAGCAGGGGGTACGGCCACATGAAAAGAAACTGGGAAATAGGAGACGCCTCTGCCAGTGGATCTTTGGGGCGAGGTGGCTTTGCGGGCTCAGCTGTAGCGGACTCGTAGTCCTCATCATGGGCAGTAACATTGCTCCCATTCCCTTCCTTGTCTCTACCAATCTGCTCACACATTTCGAAAGTTTCGGAACTCCAACAACCTGTCTAAAATAGTGGATGCAGCTGTCTACTTCCTTTCGTTGTTGGCATTGCTCTTTTGTAGACACTTTTGCTGCAGGTAACGGTATTGCGGCTCCAGCGTACTGGTGTGGCTGCTTCGAGAGACTGACTCTGTTGCCTGATGTGGACTCGCTTAGACTCAGCAATCATGTGTCTTCCAGGCAGTGAATCAGCTGGGTGCTAAAACCAGCTTCGATTGCCCTTCTTCCTTCGTTTTGGGGGAGCAGTTTCGCGATGACTCAGCAGACGTAGTGAAGCTCGCACAGGTAGTGAACAGCAAAATGCCACGTGCGACCAACACTCATCCGGAATGAAGTTGCGGGGAATGGGCTTTTTAGAGCAGTCCCTTCTGGTCAACCTGCTCAAGTTTTGAAGTTTGAGTAAATCTTCCATTTTGAGTCATGCTTTTAATTATGAAGCTTCCAGATTGAAGATTCGATTCGATCATCATTCATCTTTCTCCAGATTTCACTGGTCCTATAGCTCTAGCTAGCTAGCTAGCTAGCTAGAGCCTTTCAGATTGTGTCATCTCATTCTTCCATTTTCAGCTATTCTTCCATTTCCAGCCATTCTTTCAAGAGAAAACAATTGAAACCAGACAAGACAAAAAATGTTAAACGTTTTTCCCGCAACACCAACGTTTCGATTGTGCTGTACCGGTACCTTATCACTGCTCTGGAATTAGGGTAGATGCGGTAAAGATAGATCTGTTCTTCTTCTTACAAGCAGTAAACTTTTTAAAAAAGATAAAGTAAATTCCTTAACCCTATAATTACCTGAACTATCTCTTTTTGAAAGCAGTCTTCCAAAAGACGCGGTGATGTTGCCGAAAAACTATCGCAGGCATGCATAGTTACGAAACTGCACGATCCTGGACTACTTCGCATGATCAAGCCAGGTACCTACCGGCTAGTCTTGAAATGGGCTCATAGCCTAGCACAAACTCACCAAGAGAGGTGGCTACACCTCCCCACAAACAAGTCATTACACACCTAGAAACAATAGTTTAATTGGCTATAGAGAAGCTTGGGTCAACCTATTCTGTCGACCGTTCCCTTACAGGGACACCCTCTGTGCCAACGGTACCTGCCCCGAGCCATCGGAATCGACCATGGCAAATCCAGGTGCCACTGGCCCACGCCTCTACAAGGACCTTTACGATGACCCAACCAGTAACCCTCTGGGCAGTGATTTCGCGGCAGCAAGGACCCGCTCAACCAGGCTCATGCTCCAGTGGAGAGCCAACGACAATCCTCCATCCGCATCAGAGTTGCACCAAGAGATGCTAGATGATTTCGCCGCCCCCATTGGAGGAGTAGCAGTCATGATCCAAGATGGTGCCACACCCGGTGGCACTCTACACGTGCTTCATGGTTTCCTGAGACATCCTGGCGACCCTGGTGCCTTGGCTGCACCTGAGAGACGCCGAACTTTCTGCTACGTAGACGAACTCATTGGAGTGGACATTCAGACAGTGGGTTTCATGGAGTCGCAGCTAGACATGACAGCGCACACCTTCACATCTGCCACACCCCAGCGCCACCAAGCATTATTCAACGACGATGCCGGAGCTGACCTCCTCGGACCATATGGCATAGACGACGCCAACACCCAAACCATCAAAGTAAGGAAGTCTCACTACATCCCCTACGAGCTAGTGGGACTCCTACTGGGAAAAAGGTTCTCGGCTCGAAAGGCTTTCGAGGTCATCTACGCACATGCGGACAGCTCCAACCGGGTAGACCACTACCTTCCGCTGCTCACGTTCCTCATGATTGCCTCCACAAAGGCCACGGCCCAGTCCATCCATTCGCGGGTGATGCACAACTCCGTAGGCGTGAACACGCTGCTACCATCCCCTCAAGTCCACAGCCACCGAAGGACCCATGTCCTCCAGCGCCAGCTGCCCGGATTGACGCCCAACACCGGCATGCACGGGGATCCAGCCCTACAACACATGGCACAAGGCATTCATGACTTAGTCGCAGAGTCTCGACTGGCCCGCAACGACGTGGACAAGCGTCGCGAAGAAGCGGCCAAACCGAAGGAAGTTCGTGCGCGATTCAAGGATCGAATCGCAGATCGGCTACTGCTCCTGACCGGTGCACAGACCGATGACGAGCTCCCTGCCATCTATCACGAGTTGGCGGCTCGCACCCAAGGAACGTCCGAGCGCATGCTCATGCAACACGAGGTGGACACCGCCGCAGGCAAGCTGGGATTCAATGCACCACTCGTCTCACCTCAACAGACGATAGCTTTGAAAGCATGGAAATTCCAAGGAGATTCTTTCCATTCGATAGGAACCGGAATACTCCCCTTCACCATCACACCACCTGGTGCCATGTCCACGGAAGGGCAACGCCAGCTGGCCGACGACACAACGAGGGCGGACCAATTCGACATGAGCGGCGACCCACTCAGCAACAGCATCTCAGCTACCGATGCGCGACAGATGAAGAACCCAAATGGGTACGTGCCACAGGATTGGACGGAAGCCGCCTCACAGCTAAAATGCTACGCCCCACTGCTAGCCATGCTATTTGGAGACAGCCACCGTAATGTCACCGAGTACAAGGCCTTCTTGCTGGAATACGAGAGGCTGGCTCCTCAACTCCACGCGGCCATGAACCGTGTTTACGGTCCGAGGTTGGCACCATCCGTGATGGTGCTCCATGTCCAGCTCACGTACAGAGCCTACTTCGTACGTCAGATGTCGGTACGGTCCACCACACACATCGACGGACCCGACCTATTAAACGGACTGCAGACGTTCGAAATCAGCAACAATTTGAACTGGGCACCGGCTGTGGACAACATACCGGCCCTGGCGCGTCTCCGGAACGCGAATCCAGGTGGACCTGCTCGAGCACCACCTGCCAGGCCAGCACCGGCTAACAACAATGGCCAAGGAGGCGAACAACCGCCCCGAGGAAACAACAACAACAACAACAATGGCAGGCAGTCAGTTCGAAATCCCAACAGGGACCCGAGATACGTAGGCAACACTCCCCTGGCTAACAACATCAGGACCAGGAGAGTGCGCGATGCCATCGCTCTAGCTGGAGACAACCCACCGCAGGTTCGACGCGACGGAAACATGGTCGACTGCTGTGCCTCGTGGCACATCGGGGGACGATGCTACAACACCTGCCCTCGAGTGGCAGACCACACCGCCAACACGCCCGAAGAAACCATCCAGCTCCACAACTGGTGTCTCAGGGCCTTTGCCTGAGAAAACGGCAGGCAGCGCTCCACGCATTGTGAGCGTCCCGCCGAGCCTGTAACACCAAAGGTGTTGCCAAGAATAGCTTCCTTTAGTTTGAAACATAGTAGACGTTTATCTGTTAAAAACGTACCGGCTACTAATAGACAACTAGGTGAGTACTCCCGCGCAACCATTGCACCGTCAGCCCAAGTAGAGAATCACCACGCTCCTTCCGCTGTCCAGCCACCTTTGTCACGTCCTCAGGCGCAACACGCTTCCAACACAACGACAACAGAAGCAGACCAACCAACGAAAACGGTCACGTCACACGAGACGGACAGAACTACAGCGGGAGCAACCGAGCAACCACAGCAGAAACTCAAACGAGAGCTACACGACACGACAACGCACAACGAGAAACACCACACAACCGCGTGTGGCGTTCCCTCGTCCACAGAACACTCAACCGCGAGTGGTCAGAACACGAACGAGCAGTCCGAGACTGCCAGCACCCACCCAGACGAACTCGACCGTCTGATACAGGAGGCAACGCAACGATTTCAACAATCAACCAACTGGGAGGAGTTTGTCACAGGTTCTCGCGATCCCGTGAGTGACTTCCACCAGAACGTAGCGCAGCTACCTCATCCAGCCGGCCCGTTGCTGGACCAATTCCGCAACACGGGAGCGCCAGTCAACATGGCCACACCGGCATGGACAACAGAGCGAATAGAAGAAGCCCTCGACAGAGGACCGCACAAGTCCGCGAAAGAGCACAGGGACTTCCTCCGCGAAGAGTTCGTCGGCATGATCAACAAGGGGCACTGGACACTCCTACCCTACAGCGTCGTCAAGGATCAACTGCCTGACTTGAGGCTCAGCCCCTTGGGAGTCGTTCCACAACGAGAGAGACGACCACGCACCATCTGCGACTACACCTACTTTGGAGTCAACGAGGAAACCGACCTGACAGCACCGCCCGAAGCCATGCAGTTCGGCAAGGCGCTGCAACGCATCATGACCAAGGTGCACCAGGCCAATCCCAACTTCGGCCCCGTGTACATGTCTAAAATTGACATTGCTGACGGATTTTACAGAGTGTGGATCTCAGCATCGGACATACCGAAATTAGGCATGCTGTTTCCCACTGCCGAAGGCGAAGAACCATTGATCGCGTTCCCACTGGTGCTACCAATGGGCTGGAAGGAGTCTCCTCCCAACTTCAGTGCCGCTACCGAAACAGTGGCTGATATCGCCAACAACCAAATAGCCGACAACACACACCAGGCAGCACCTCACCGACTCGAAGCACTGTCCGAGACAGCACCGCCATCTGACGCAGAAGCAGAACCAGCGTCGGCCCAGTCGGCAGCTCGAACGGCGTCGCTGCCAGCACCCACGTCCGCGGTGTACCCGTCGTCGCACGAACAACGACCCATCCACTACTGGGACGTCTACGTGGATGACTTCATCGGATTGACTCAGGGAAACCGCTGGAAGCGACGCCGCACCAAGAGGATCCTCTTACACGCACTAGACAGCGTCTTTCGGGGATTGGATCCCCACGACACCCCACACCGGCAAGAACCTGCTTCAGTCAAAAAGCTGAAGAAAGGGGATGCCACGTGGACCACCATAAAGGCGGTGTTGGGTTGGATTATCAACACTATCCAACTCACTATCGAACTGCCCGATCACCGTAAGGAACGCCTTATCGAGATCCTGGACAGTGTGAAGCCTGGACAACGCCGCATTGCCATCAAGCAGTGGCACAAGGTGCTGGGAGAACTCAGGTCCATGGTGATCGCAATCCCAGGAGCACGTGGCCTCTTCAGCACCTTGCAAGAAGCTTTCAGACACGAAGAAAAGGAAGGCCACCGCCTCCGACTGACGCGACAAATACACGATTTTCTGGCAGACTTCCGGTGGCTAGCCAACAGCATCAACGAACGCCCCACTCGACTAAGTGAGGTGGTGCCGAACCACAATCCTTCCACGAGGGGAGCGTGTGACGCATCAGGTGCTGGCATGGGTGGAGTACACTTCATTCCTACACCAGATGGCGTCCAACCGATTTTGTGGAGGTCGCCATTCAACAACAAGATCACTCGCAACCTCGCATCCTTCCAAAATCCGACGGGTCCCATCACCAACAGCGACTTGGAACTAGCTGGATCGGTGGCGCACGTGGACGTGCTTGCCCAAGCTTGTGACATACGCGAGCACACCATTCACAACTGCTATGACAACACTCCTACCGTCTACTGGCAACGAAAAGGATCGACCACAACTACGGGTCCTGCTGCGTACCTACTGCGCCTACAATCCCTCCATCAACGACATCACCGATACCTACCGCTACACGACTACATCCCTGGAAAGGCGAATCTCATGGCTGACATTTGTTCCAGGGCGTGGCATCTATCTGACGACGAACTGATCTCACACTTTGAATCTCTTTTCCCACAGATGCTATCTTGGAAACAATGCCATCTTCGAAGCAAGATGCGTTCCGGTCTGATCTCCGCC